TTCCTTGGTGCTTGATTTCCATTTTTTCCTTGGTGCTTGATTTCCATTTTTTCCTTGGTGCTTGATTTCCATTTTTTCCTTGGTGCTTGATTTCTATTTTTTCCTTGGAGCTTGATTTCCATTTTTTCCTTGCTCCTCGTTTTCCATCGTTTTTATGGTGCTCGCTTTCCATCGTTTCCTTGGTGCTTGTATTCCATTGTTTCATTGGTGCTCGTTAATCATCATTCCCCTGCTGTCCGTTTTCAATTGTTTCCTTTGTGCTTGTTTTCCATTGCTTCCTTGGTGCTTGTCTTCTTTTGTTTTCTTGGTGCTTGTTTTCTTTTGTTTCCTTGGTGCTTATTTGCTATAGTTTCCTTGGTGATTGTTTTCCATCGTTTCCTTGCTGTTTGTTTTCCATTGTTTCCGTCGTGCTCGTTTTAATTTGTTTTCGTGGTCCTTATTTATCATCGTTTTCTTGATTTGTTTTCCTTTATTTCATTTGAGCTCGTAATGGGTTTTCTATCTATTTCTTTGTGATATGTTTCAGACGTACCTCTTATTGATCGTTTCTTCCGTATTCTTATTGATCGTTTTCCATTGTTGTCTGGTGCTTGTCTTCCTTCATTTCCTTAATGCTCGTTTCCCATCGTTTCCTTGGTGCTTGATTTTAATCCCTGAGGATGATTCGAAGACATGCCATCACAATTTTGATCCTCTGCAGAGGGAATTTTTACCATAAAAAGGGATTAGCTACCATAAAAAGATCAGCAGATTTTTCGTTTCGATTTCGGAGGGTGGAAAATGAAGCCTGAAATTGAGAATATCTTACAAAATGCAGCAGAGTTGCACATGAGAGTACAAGGATCTCACTGAACCCAACTCAGTAGAAGCACATGCAGACTCGCATGCAATTCATCAAACATGTAAAATGATTGGCGCTTTCATACGCTACAGACCGACGGTTAGCCGAAATCGATTTTGTTTGAATGAATTGTAAAAACGTTGAATATAACAATGTGAAAATCACGCTTTTGCATAATATGTGGCGAATATCGACACGGTAAAGAAAAAAAATCTCATTTTCGAAAAGGTACTTTTTAAAAAACCCCAATAAAAAAAAGCACCTTTAAGCTCGTTTTAAAAACGCTACGCATCAGATTTATTACACCCCTCTGAGACAACAGAGATTAAGAATCAACATCATTTGCATTAATACCAAAACTAATTGATGTCATATTGCTACAAGAAAAATTAAAACTACAAAAAATATATATTGTAGATTCTCGAGTAAAAAAAGTTGCAATGTCTCTACTATTTTACAATGTTACAGTGAATTGCCGAATCATCCTTTCATTGGTGAATCAAATAATAAATGATAGCAAGATAAAATGTGAGTTTGAAAACATTTTATTTTGAAATGTTATCAGATACAAAAGTATATACAATACGTTCAAAATATTGCTCAGTCACAAAAAATACCGGAAAAAAAATAGTTTAGTGCACCTATAACACAGACCTACAATTGTTTTTTCTTTTTGGTGTTTGAAATTTTTAAAATAATTTAAATAAACTTAGATATGCTGTTTTGAAATATGAAAACCATTTTTCTTCATCTAATTTATTTTCAGAAAGGTAGCTTTTTGTTTGTTTCATATGTTACATTGGCTGTAAGCTGATTCCTTGGGAAATTATGCGGATTTCTAATGTGTTAATCTTTTACTCTTAGTTCAAATTTTAAGATTTAAATAAGCTAACATTTGAAATATACGATTCACACGGGTACTCAAAATAAAATATTGTTTTTTTAGTTGCTTCAGATTTTTTAACCGATTTTGATCATATTGAAGGATTTCTAAACGTCCAAAAGCACAAGAGTTAAACATTTAATTTTATCACGCTTTTTCTCAGTTTCTTTATGAGCAACATATACTTGTTTTAGAATTCAGACCTGTTGTAAGAGTGGTGCAAATAAGGCATTTGCTCTGAGTCAAGCATTTCTCAGACTCAAGAGGATTCTACACATGCGATAATATTCAACATGATCTGACAATGCATTTTGCCAAAAATGCTAGTTTTTTTGTTTTGTTTCTCAAGATAAAAAAACTTTTTTCTTAAAATTAAGTAATACAAAATTCTTTAGTGATTGTATTTGTTATTTTAGGACTTCCAGAGACAAGGTCAAAGAGCAGTATAATATGACAATATAAAGGATACAGCATAACAAGCGACTGAGGTATTAAGAATCAGTTATTAATTTATGCACTAAACAAGCACATTTTTAGAATGTGTAGATGTGAAAATTCACATATTCCATGAAAAAAAGAATCTTAACAAAGAGATGAAGGGAAAAAAAATGGTTCTCATATTTGCAGCCTCAATAAAATTAGAACCAGTGAGTGAGTTTTGTGAAAGGATGCCAGTGGAGCATACTCTTGTTGCATCAACTTTCAAATGTAAACAAATATTTGACTGCTGACTTTTTGAACAACCTAGTTCATAGTTCTTAACTCTTTAATCAATATTTCAAACAATTCTATTAGGAAAATAAACTTTAGTTGAATGGATTAAAATCTTAAAAAATATATTATTCGATTAATAATTTTCAGAAGCTTTTGGGAACAATTTGACTGAATCTGATTCAAACTTTCTGCATCAATCAGATTTTCACTTTCCCAAAGCATAGATGGAAAAAAAAATAGTTGGGGAAATTTCTGTACCTGGACCAGCGGCAAAATAACTGCCAAATTTTGGCACCTTCTGAGCAGTGGCCTGTGAGAAACTAAAAAAACACAGAAGGAGACTAACTCAAAAGGTATAACTCATAACCACTCTCAGATAAACTTCTACATACTATACATATTTTAAATTTTTGCCAGTTTGGCACCTTGGTGATTGTAGTTGGCATGAACAGGTACCATTGCAGAAGTATTCCCTAATAGTCTGAACAACTTTAAATAATAATTTGCACCATAAATAAAGTGTTGTGAAAATATTTAAAACAGTTTACTAAAAAAGAGAAAGATAGAATATGCCTACACTCCTGTTTAATGTTAAAACTAATTAAACATTCTTAACTTCCTATTAACAGCAACAGTTTACACAATTCAGAGTACATTCTATTAGCTCTTGGGTCACAAAACTCCACCAATTTAAAGGAATCTGACACCAAACTGAAAGTTGGTCTGTATGATGCAAACTAAATGACACTTACAAAATTTTTTTACAATGGAATGCATTTCATTTAACTTCACAAAATGTACAAAACAATTTTATAAAATTATTTCTTCATATAAATATGAAGAGTTACTGTAAGATAAACACTTATATGTTATTTAAAATTCATAAATGCATATAATTCTTTTTAAAATGTAATAGAAACTGGTATATACCGACCGAATAATAATTAATAAATACATGGCATCATTTAGTCTCAATTCAAACTATCAAAGTGCTTCTAAAAGATGTTAAAATATTTTATCATTCAAAAACGCAGCAATTTTTTCTGTTGTGTTTCAATATTTTAGCTTAAAAGCATAATAATATTCAATTTAGCAATAGTTATATTACATTAAAGATAGAAATGAAATTTTTTTTATTACAAATAAACACAAACATAATTAATACACAATTATTTACATCAGTTTTACAGACTAACTAAAAGGGCAATCAAGAAAATGTTCATTCATTTATAAAATCAGATACAACAATAATAATTAAAAAAAGATTTAATCACTGTTCATATATATTACAAAAAAAGAAAAATTCAAATTTAAAATGAAAACTCATTCTATCAATATTTTGGAACACAGGGATTACAAAAAATACTTTGGGGGCAAACAATGACACAATGATGAGTAACAATCTAGAAAAATATTTGTGCTGGATAACTAATGCATTTTACACTAACATGAAAATCTCACTAACATGTATCTAAACAAGATTTTGATTTCTTTAAAGGGCTGTCATGCTTCTGCAAATAACCCATTTTGATTTTTTCTTTTATCATATAAAAAACCAGCAAGAAGATGCACTTGCAAATCCCATAAAATTCAATAAATAAAATATTCTAGTTTGTTTTTAAATGTTATTATTTTATTTTAAATCCTAAAATTTTCATTTGTGATTAATAAAGCTTTTTTATGAGCCATATAAACACTAAGAGTCGTAATCTGAGCTGAATACATTTACTTAATAAATTTTTTACTTTGCAAGTACGTCCTTGCAAGTACGCATTTACAAAACTATTGTACATTACAGCTAAAACTTATCAAAAGTAAAAAAAAATAATAAAGCTTTATAATTTTATTTTAAACGTTATTATAAATAAAAAATTTGCATCAAAACTTGTTGGTTTAGACAGACTAAAAATTTTAAAATTTATTTTTGAAATTTACTTTTGATTCTTATTATATTTCTGATTTTTCTGAATTAAAAAAAAAACTTTAGATAATTTTCAAAATATTAAATATTAATGAATATTGTTCCCGGTTGCATCCTCTTAAGATAATTTCAACCCTTGCAGGTAAATATTTACTAAACTACAAATTATTAAAAAAATTGAACAGTATACATAAGAAAGATATCACATACTACCAATTTTTTTCCACAAATGAAGCTTAACTGGTTTTTTAGAAGAAATGTTAGTAAAAAAGTAAAAATTTTTTACAATTATGATTAACCACCATTTTTCATAGAGTAAGAAATTGGAGAATTTTTTTAAACTATCATTTTAATGCTTTTAGATCATTTTGTAATACTTTGGTGTACAAAAAAAAACTCCTGAATATATTTATTTCTTGCAGATAACACTCAACATGCAATGCAAAAAAGAATATAAAAAAGAACAAAAAAATCCTACTACATTTGAAAATCACGAGTGTAGCACAGAGCAAAACTGATATTTTATGAAAACTCCCAAATGAAAGACATTTTAGGGATAAAGACAAGCTATATCCCGTGCTGAAACATATTGATATTACATTATTTCCTTAGAATAAAAAATAGCACAAAAATAGTTCAGTGATTAGCTCATGAGATATGTATTTATATCAGAAAGACTCTTTCTAGTAAAAATGTACACTATGCTTTAGTTTTAGAGGCAAAAAAAAAGATATAATTTCGTTTGATAAGAAATATATTTAAAAAAAATCAATTTATTCAGGAGTACAGATATTAAATAAGAAGGTAATTTTTTGAACTTTTTTTTACCATTGTTGAAAAGAATATATTTAAAAATGCTCACATAATGCACCAGTAAGATTTAATTAAAAACAAGATTTAAAATCACAATTAGTAGAACTTTATTATTTACTATTTGTGATTATTGCATATAAATAAAATAATTCAAAATCTTTATTGAACTAGAAGGCTTTTTTACTGCACTTACTCACTGATATAAAAAAGATCTAAAAAGAATATCACCATTATTATGTTTAATAACAAAAGCCTTGAGTTCATTAGTATCTTTCATCAAAAAACTTATATTACCTCTTTACGAATCATAGTCATAACTGTTTTAAAATTCTTATTTTTTGAAAATGTCTTTGTTTATGCAAAAGTTTATGTGTATTAAATTTTCATAAGAAATAGTAAGCCATGGAAGACAGATTAAAGTGAGATAATAAAAGACTTATATGGATAGTAGGTTTTTCGATAAAGATTGTAAGAGTTTATTATTTTCAACAAAAAAAATTTTATTAGGTAATTTTTTTAAATTTAAAATTTTGTGACAAAATAGAAAAAAAAAACTTTTATATAAAACATTTAATAACATAAAAATATATCAATGCATTTTATAAAATTAAGAATATGAAATTGTGCAAGATATATGCATATCCCAATAATAATTTAGAAATTTAAACAATCAAGTGATTTAAAAAATTTAGTATTTGACACTTTCTTAAAATTTATTTTAGATAAAGCAGAAGTTATCTAGACGTCCACAAAAAATTTAACAAGAGCAATTGTAAACACTGTTAAAAAGTTTACCTTTCTGTATTTTTTAATTGAATTCCTAATTAATATGAGTATGAAACAGAAAATATTATTCAGACAGTCATTTTATGCTATTAGATAATATTTTAACAAGAAATGCAAATTAATGTAAATATAAATGAAACACTAAAATCCTAAAATTTAATGTTTTCCAGTTTAGTGTAGTTAAGAAACGTCTTTCACTTTAATTTCAATTAAATCTCTTCATAGATAACTTTTATAATAAAATATATTTCAAAATTAATCAGCCAGGAAAACGAAGCATCAACAAGAAAACTTCAAGATAGTATGCTGATATATATATATATGCAATTTTTAAACACCTTTTAAAGAATAAAAAGTAATTTATAACTATCCTCTCTCCAATGAATGTTTTTATTAATGATATTAAAAAAATATTTAAAATTTTTTTTTTAAAAAGTAAACAATGATTTTTAAGGTTTTAAAAATAGACGAAAAAATTCAACTGTTTAAGACTGTACACACCCTATGCAGACATTCTTAGACCAATAGTAATTTGTGAAGCACTTATCAAAATAATAATGCTCTTTCTAAAATTTAGAGTGGAATTTTTTCTGGTTTTTGAGCTACATTTAAAAATTAATTAATATGAAATGGAAAATTTATGCTATAAATATAAAATTATAAGCATTTCAAAGTCAGTAATGGAGTAAAATAATTAAAATTTTCTATTACTGAAGGATACTTGAGTATATGATTACAGAAACTAAACACCTTTTCTTAAAAGAAACGTGAAATTTCAATATAATAAAAACAATAAAATTTAAGTTCTTAAAATTTTTCCTTCCTTCTCTTAATTTTTTTTAAAAAAAGAATCATATTAAATGCAGTGATTATGGAACTTTTACAAATTCTGAGTTTGTATGAATTTAACAATATCTATGGCCATAAAAGTAAATATTTAAAACAAATATTGTCACCCTAATTTTTAGAATATCTAAGAATTTTACATTTATGAATAACAATAAACAAGTCTTTTTAAATCGATAAAAAAAGAACACAATTTAGATAGAATAAAACATTTCTAATAAACCGTAACACAATCATGAACACATCACTAACGGTACATTTCCATCACTAAACATTAAAACCCGTTTGAGTTCAAGTCATTACTTACAATAGAAATTTTCTTCATTATTTGAGTTTCCATATAGAACTCCATATGATCATCCTCATATTCCACTAAAAGTATTGACAAAGTTTGCATAATATCCCTTCTTGTACACAAAGAGAGTTACCCATAGTTTTAAGATAGTTTCCCAATACTGTTTTAAGTAGTTTCTGAAAGGAAGTCATAAATGCAAAAACATAAGTTTCCTTAAAATAAATGCATGATTAATTCAGTCTTCTCAGATAGTATGTTTTATCATTATTACTTGAGATCACCTCCACTAAAAAATAAATATTGAATAATTAGTACCCAAAGTAATATAAAATATAAAGAACACACAGAAAAAAAATATAAAACGCAGACAATTTGAATGGCTTTTCAGAGCTGGATATTATCTGTAAAAATATTAACCCCCTTCTTGTTTTTAAGTTAAATTAAACCAACAACGATTAATGAAAACTTTTTCTGTTTGTCTGGAATATTGAAGAGGCTTTTAAAGAATTTTAATTACTGAGGATACTTATACACACCATCCTTTCACTAACAACATCCTAAATACCATCAAAATATCCAATTTAAAGTTCATTTTTAAAATTAATAATTTATTCATTTTTAAAATTAATAATTTATTCATTTTTAAAATTAAAATTTATTATTTTTAATATTTCATTATTTAGAGACTCTCTAAAGAAAAGTTTGAAAAAGTGAGGGAAAAAAACCTTTTTTGAAAACATAATTATTTATCATTTTTATTGCACGAAATCCTCCCCCCTAATAAAAATTAAATGATATCTTCTTCATAGAACAATTTTGCATTTAAAGTTATTTAAACAGGAAATGGTGATTTAAATCTTATTAGAAAGAAATCTATTTTATGGGGGAAAAGTTATCACTTTTAGTTGAATAAAACTCACGCAGCATTAATTATTTATTGTATTACTTAAATATATAACTTTTAATGTATGTCACCATACTAACTAGTGACTAACTATATAAAATTATCTCCTACTGGAAGAGTAAATTTATCATTTTGTAAAGTAGTTGCAAACTTCATGCCAAATTAAAAAACAGATTAAGCATAAAAAATTACAGTTAGGAAGCAAACGATAAACTACACTGTACAATGAAGTGGAATGTCTTTCTTGTTCTTTAGATGAAACTGTGTGGTACTGCATAAACAAAAGGTGCTTGATTCATATATCAGAAACAAAATAGCCCATCAAGTACTGTTTTTGAAGGAGAAAATCACCACATTTCTAAGGAATTTTTGGATACTTTGCTTTCTAAAGTATCTGGAGCCTCCGAACTTTGGGAAGGTAGATAAGATTTTTGACAGCAAATATGTTATAAAAAATTGCCAAAATGATCTTTGTTGGTTCATAATATACTTTTAGGTACTGATTAAATTTTTAAAAATAAAACTATCTTGTTTCATTGCTTGCGAGGGGAATTTTTTTATTTTTACTCATAGCTGAAATTACATTAATATTTTAACTAAAAAATTTAATACTCTCCTCAAAAACAAAATGTGTTTTCTAAATGTTTAAAGATACTTTACATGACTTTAGTAATTTTTATCTCAGCCTGACACTACATAGTATTATCGCTTTTCATACTATTCAAAAACCAGTCAAAATTTTACAAAAGTTTAAACTACAAATGAAATCATAAAAGGATTTTTAAAAATGAATGACATTTTAGCAGTTTTACAAACTTTAATGCAACTAATCAGCCCAAATCAATAGCTCGTTTTTAGAAGAAAAAAAAGTCTTCATATAGTTTTATTCCTATATTTTTAAATCACCACACATGGCTTGTTTTAAAAAGTTATATTCATAACAAAATGCACTATCAAAATTTTAAGGTGCTTTTCAATCAACCTGCAAAGCAAAATTGCTGCAATAGACACATCAGAATCTCATTATGAAAATTGTGACAAGAAAAAAAAAATGTTTTCAATATCTCCTATTATTAAAATGGCATGAACTTTTTAGCTTCAACTATCAAGATACGATATTAAAACAATTATTTATATATTAAATAATTAACAAACCTTATGTTCAACTTGAAGAGTCTTCACTACGATCTAGTTGGAAAGTAAGAGCTCTGCTTTGATCACTTGGTCCTGCTATGGAATTAAGTTGTTGAAAAGAGTTCAACTCAGGCTGCAAATAAAACAATGTAAGAAATATTATTTTGGGCCAATTTTTTTTATTTTATTATTTAAAATATGAATGAAAAAATTTTACTATAGTCCTGGTATTGAATTAAGTAGTTGAAATAAGTTTAACTGAGACTGCAAATTAAACAATGCAACAAATATTATTTTGTGTCAAATTTCTAAATTCTGTGGTTCTAAAGCGTGATAAGGGTTTTCCATTTCTTAAACATACATAAAGCAGGGCATGTTACGTAATAGAACTGGTTGAACTTTTTCCCTTGCATTGGAGATCTCCTTTCTCATAAGAAAACGTAAACAGTTAAGCTTCAACCATCAAAAGACTCACCCTGTCTCATTACATATTACACCTCTTTTAAACAAAAATTTTTGATCAAGAATATATAAAATTTAACACTGATTCAGGAGATTACAACTCAACTCTTCTTGATTTTCTTCTTCATGTTTTAACTAAAAATGAATCACAGCAATATAGGGTCTCATACAAAATACACATAATGAATTAAAATTTCTTTTTAATGTCAATTAAATATTCAACATATAAATTTTACTCCAGCTCTTTGAACAGTGTTATCGCTTATACAAGATTAGAATATTTTTTTAAAACTCTTTGTATTAGACTTTGTTTTTTAAACTAGTTTGGCAAAGAGCCTTTTAAAGAAAAGTACTACAAAAATTCGCTTTATATTTAAACTTAAAAATTATGACAAGCCTTAAAAATACATTTTTATAAATTAAGTTTTAAAATATCCATTTTGTAATAAAATGTTATGTATCTTCTTTGGATGACTTTTTCTTGTTAATTTTAAGATACAGTACAATGTACCGAGTCCCATATTCGGACATCCCTTAACTGGAAATGTCTATTTTCCGGACACTTTTCTACAATCAAAATAAATCTTTTTTGCTTTTCTTAAAAAAAAAATGTTTGTTATTTTTTTGTGTTTGCGATTGTTAAAAAGTTATAAAATTATTTTTTCCTTTGTTCTTGCTGCTTTCTGATACTGCAATAGTTGTTCTGCTTCTATAAGCATATACTAAAAGAGTTGCTGAAAAGAAAAGAGCAGTTGAAGGAAAATGTTTTAGTTAGAATAATAAACTATGAATATTAATAGTGTTTGAAAAGAGCATCAGCAGGCAAACTTATTTTTCTTTTAAATAAGAAATGCTTATTTTATTAACAAAACCTACCAAATTCTGACTTAACTGCTTAACCTACCAAATTCTGTCACTCGCTTTATGTTACTATTTTTTTTTTATTAAATCAGAATGATTTACTTTTGGAATTAGAGCCATTTTTTTGTTACTTTTATCTGATTATCTGCTACAGCTAATTCTTCATATTAAGGAGGAAAAAAAGAAGAGAAAAAAGGTGTCTTTATTCATAACAGCGACAGCTCAAATTATCTTCTACTTTTACTTATTTTTTTTAAATTATAAGAACACATTGTAGGATGAAATTTAAATTAACCATTTTTAAAGTTTTATTAAAAATGCATGTTATGATGCTTGTTTACCTTAAAGACCTATTACCAGAAAAAATGTATTCAGAAGTTTCAGGGATTTTGGAAACAGGACTTTCCATATATCTTGCTGGTTACATACTTTCTATTTATATGTAAAATAAGTTGAAAACCAAAGGAAATATGTTTCATAATTGAAATAAGCCAACAAATGTGAATATTTCCCAAAAGAATTTATTTGAAAGGTGTCCAACAATTTATAAACACATTTGCTCATTGCAATTTATTATAAAATTTTATACTTTTCAACATTAGAAAAAAAATATTGCACTTTTTCAACTAAAAAATTAGAGAAGAGTAAAATTACATTCCATAATTCTGTAATGAAACTCATTATAAAACGATAAAAAGGTATTTTAAACTCACTTGATGTGGATTTTGTAACTCAATATGTACAAGTAAACAAGCTAACTCTAGTTCTTCACTGAATTCATTTTTCAGAGGTATAGATCGATAGCCTGAAACAAATTATACAATAGTAATCAGGGATGGGAAGATAAGAGTCAAAGAAATTTTTCCAGAAGTTGGATTTGGTATCAAAATTGCTCCGACTGTAGTTAGCTATTAGTCATTAAATAAATGCAAATTATGGTGACATATAGACAAAAATATTAATCAAATGAATATAGTGACAACAACATTATGACTTATCACATACTTATGACTTTCACAACATGACTTATCACATACATAGTAAAAAAGCAACAATTTCTTAAGTATTTTAACTCTTTACACCGATTATCTTCCTTTAAAATTTGCCTCTAAAGTCATTATTATGGCATACAATGTAAATATTAGTTTAAAAATTTACCAGATATGGCATTATAATAACATAATTTTTTTTATAATGTACAATTTTAGATGCAGTTTACAAATAGATATTTTTCATAATATTGTTTGCAACTACTTATTTTATTCATCTTACTTAACTACTATTATTATCCTACTTATTTATTTTACTCATACATTTAAATACTTATATTATTATTTTATTTATCTATTTTTATGTGTTCTAAAATTTTAGTCTTCGAACGTAGTTAATAACTTTTATTTTGCTGAGTGAGTATTAAAATAGATATAAGATTACTTTATAGACATGACAATAATAATTTCAGAACTTAAGAAAACATTTACAATATACTCAATGGCTATTATGAAGATATTGGTCTTCTGATTCAATGAAAAAAAATGTTATTATCTTTAAGAAAATCAGTCATAAATATTGATAATGAATTGTGATTGTAATTTTTATGATAAGAGCAATAAAAAGCTTTATATATATATATATATATTAATGATTTTCAGGAACTTATAAATATATTTTTTTAAACCCATATCTGAGAATAACTTTTTAATGATTTATCAGTCATTTCTCTGTAATGCAATTATCAATTTTTATTTTACTCAATTTTTAATGGAAAGCAGTAACAATTAAAATTATTAATTATACATTAGTCATGTTTTTATTTTTATTTTACTTTTATAAAACTCACACTAGAATTTTAAAGAAGTATTATTAATTTTCTTCCTGAAAATGTTCTCTTTTTTTCTAGATAAAACCTACTAATCTCTTGCCATCATGCAAAAAGCCCCGTAAATATCTTGATATTTTGCTAATTTAGGGATAGCAAGAAATTTGTTTCCATTAGATTACACAGAATGAAATATAATTCGAAATAATATTGATTAATTTTAATAGATACTAAAGGGTTTACCAAAACCCATAATTGTTCTAAAATAATTTTAATTCCATTTCTATTTCATACATCAAAATTTAAAATTAAATAATAAATCAATCATTTTTTATTATATTAATACAAGCTTGATTCCACAGATTCAGTTTCTGTTTCTAATGGGATAAAATTTAAACCTATTCATTTTGTTTGGTTACTAGAACAACTCGCAAACTCCTTTTTTAATTCAGTATTAAATTTTTATTAATAATAATAGCTCATGAATATTTATTTTAGCAAAAAGATTATTTAATAATAGTGTAAATTTAATTCATAACATTAATTTAAATAATTATTTGGTATTCATTATTTTTATTGTCTACTTTGACTATACTCAAGTTTACTCAAAATTGATTACAGTTAATGTAGAAAATTTTATGCACAAAATTTATGTGCGTAAAATAGTAAACAGTTTCACATAGAGATACTGAGAATATTGTTAAGAAGGAATGGTATATAAATATTACAAGTGAATACCTTTAAAGGATAACTAAATTATTTACAAGTAAATAGGACAAGAATTTTGTATGGTGATGACAATCAGAATTAGGCAAATTAAAGATCATGTGATTTTTTTTGTTTAATGAGAGTGCAAAAATCATTAAAAGATTTTGATGTATAGTAAAAAACAATAAAATATTTCAGCTCTGAGATGAAAACATAAAAATTTACCAGATCTGAGGCATGTAACAGGATAACAGGCTTGTGCTAGAAAATTAGGATCCCCAAACATATCTTCATACTGGACTGTAAATTTAATTAAAGCTAGTTCAGGGCTATAAATAGACCATGAGAATGTCTCTTTCCAGACTGGATTCAAACCATTGTCCTCTAAAGGTTCACAAATAAAATAGAGTTAAATGATTTAATAAAAAAAGAAGATATTTTAAAAATAAATCAAATATAAGTCACAGCAGTTACTTCTTATCTATAATGAAACCCATATAAGAGGACCGCTTATGGGACTAACTTTTGATGGTCCACTTGGACAATTGGTCAAATTATAAAGGGGAATTTAATTGATTTTACCAGTTTTCTACTTGCTCCTAAAGATCAACATAGGGAAGTGGTCAATTTTCAGAGGTGGTCAAGTTAATACAGATTTCACTGCTATGGTCACTGGAAAAGATTTTACCACATGGAAGAAAAATTATTATTAAGGAAGGAAATTTTTTTAAAAACTAAAGCCTTTTTTAAATAAATTACCAGAAAAGTACAATTAACCAGACAAATCGATCTTAAATATGAATACTTGAATACTGGTGAGCCATGGTAATTGAAACCTCATTAAATTTTAAAATTAAAAAACAAACAGGAAATATACATTAAAACTTAAATATTGCTACCATATAAAAAGTTTTTATCAACAACTATGGAAATTGGCAGCTACGTAAACAAGATATATATTTTCGAATTTTCATTAGAAGTAATAAATGCATCTTCAATAATTATCCAATTTATTCACAAAATAAAATAGAAATTCTGCACATAAACAAGATAATGAAAAAATGGTAAGTTGTTTATTAAAATGCTTGCTTAGAATTAAAAAGTAGTGAACAATCGATGAAAACAAGTTCTATAAAAATAAATGTGAGCTATTATATTAAACATTGACTAAAAAATTTCCAACTTAACTTTTTAATTTAATTTTATTTTATAATCATCATTGAACAGCCAACCTGATTTTGAGTTTAAGAGTACCAATGTTCAACTCCTTTATAATTTTTAAAACAATCCAGAAGACAAAGGAACTCCTATATCAAGTATTGGGAGAAAATTTGCCTTAGCAGAAGACTTTTTGTAGAAACAGACCCTAGCATGTACGTTGCATGGAGAGGAAAATCATGAAAACCTCCCAAGTTTAGCCTGACGGCAAGGGAACTCTAACCCATGATTCATCTACCATTGAGGATATTTTAGGTCAAAACTGTGGCTGGTGCGAGCTGGGTGACCACCCATGAAGAAATAATACAGGTATATAAAAGAGCTTTGGCACATATTTGTTCAAAATGCTTGACAATCAACTTTTTGTAAAAGTAGTCTGCTTTGTTGAAGCGAATCCCAATGAAGGATGCACCATGTCCGAAAGCCTGTACAATGCACGTCAATAAGCATTATAAATAAAAATGCAATTTAGGATAATCCAAAAAGCTCTTAGTAACTTAATTCAGTATAAGAACTATTATAACAAGTCTCGGCACACAATCACACACTTCAGTTTCTACTCTCATACTTAGAATCTAGTTTTTTGTTGTCTGCATTGCAAATGACACAATTTCCATTTCAAGTTTTATCTTCCGATTTATAAACCCTAGAAAAATGTCTTTCTGACTTACAAAACATATTGAGCACATTCAAAACAAATTGAGCACTTTTAGAAGTTGGTTTTATACATGGCTAAAACCATAAAATATAAAAAAATAATTTATAAAAAAAAAGTTCAAATATAAAGAAGTAAAATATAATCTATAATATGAAAAAATAGTAAAATTCAATTAAAGCTTTTTTATTTTTTTACACATAAAATAAAATCTGTAACAAAATATAACACACCTTTTGTAGTGGTTTTGTAGCGAGCAGTATCAAACTCAGATCCCAGTACTTCAAGTTCAATGAAAGGACTTACAATACCTTTACTTGTTTTCATCAGGTGACGAGCAGCAATAACCTTCATGTTTAAAATAGATAAAAAACTGTTATGCATCTTTCATAAAATAAATCAAGACTTAAAAACTAAACTAGCAAATTAAACTTATTTTAACAATAGAAACATAAAAATACAAAACGTAATTATATTTTTTTTCACAAATACCCAATAAAAAGAGTAAGCATGAATTGTGGGTAAAAATGAAAAAAATTCCTTATTTCATACTAGGTCATGTAAATGAAGGTACTTTGAAGCTTGAATGGAGCATATTGTGTTTATTATATCACATGGTAAAATATTATACTCTTATCATACATTATGTGAACAAAACTTCAAAGACACTTTCATAAAAAATATTTGATGCATTTTTATGTAAATTTTTAAGAATGAGAAGCTTACAAAACATTTTTCAATAAAGGCTTGGTCATGAGATTTTATACTTATGTATATTTAGATAATCAATGTCATTAAAAAAAGTTAATGAAATCATAACTCCTCTTTGCTATTACTACATTTGGTTTTATAAACTTAAGTATATAGAAGAGCATTTAAATTTCCTTAAAAATTGAAATGCTTGACACATTATAAATTTAACCATATTTCTTTCCATAACAATATGGTTTCTGCTCATTTTACTCAAAATGAAAGGATATAAAAAAAAAAATTACTTCTTTTGGTCCAAAACCAAGGACAACCAACCAACACATTAGAAATTTTAAAATTAAATTACCTGCACAGATAACATAAAAGGTTCCCGACCTTCTACGCAGGAACGGTCATGTGGATCAAAATGATCTTCAAACATACATTCTGGTCTCAAAACATATCCACATCTATAAAAAAATGGGGATTTCATTAAATTAAAGAAATTTATTATGGAATAATACAGCAAAAAAATGTATAAGAGGCATGAATACATGTGCAAGAACATGATATCAAAACAAGAAAGAGATAGTAAAAACAACTATTACACAAAAAAAATAACAGAAAATTGATATCACAATTTCTTTAAGAGTATAATGTGAAAAAAGTAAGTTACCTTCCATTTTGTAAAAAGCGAGCTTGATTTAACTGCATTGCTCTGTCTGAAAGTTTGAAAAATCAATTAGAATGACTAAGAAGTAATAAATAATAATGTAGAAGCAAATTACAATATAAAGTGAAGATTGCACTACTGTCTCCTTACTCATGTTACATTTCATATTGCATTAAACATCTGTGTGTCTACAATATGAACTCTGTCTACAGTTGTCAGGATCCTGATTCCTCTCCCACTCATTTGATTGACCCCTGACTTGAGGGTCAGAGGGTGAAGGACACTGGAAGTGTCGTCCCCTACATTGGGGGTGGAGCAAAGGACTGTCTCTTATGAGAAAGAGGATTTTTAGAGATTAGATTAGTTTTGAACGCAGAAGAGTTGAGTTTTTTTTAGTTGAACTATGATAGAAAAAGTATGAACGAAAAAGGGAGCAGTAGCGCTCCGAAACATTATACCCTACAGCTCATGTATAATTTTGTAACTTTTTGTAAATAATTATATTAATCCAGAATAATGAAATAAATAAGCTATAACTAAAATAATCCTTGGTCATCCTTATTGAGGAGTTCTTTAAAAACGGATCAAGAGACAAAATGTCTCACAACAGTCTTGCATAGATATATTACTATTGCGAACTTTTGCTTATTATATGAAAATTTATGAGGTAAACACACAGGGAAAATTCTACAGATGATGCATAGACAGTAAAAACTTAAATATGTTTAATCAAGTTATAAGTTTTTCAAAATTAGACATAAATATCAGAAACATTCAAAACAACAAAAGTAAAGTCATCTCTTTTACATTTAACTAATAATTATTACCCATAAGGAAACTGAAATTTTTTTTTAATATTTTGTAGGAGTGTCAAATAAAAGTACTCTTTTAATTCAAAAGCACTGCGTAAAAATAAAATAATATATTAAAATTAAATGTTACATATGTGGAAGTTATTGAATATAGAATAATGCAAACCTTTTGGTTTTATTAGTTACCTTAAATTCCAAATATACAAACACATAAGATGTATTAGTATAAATTTAATATTCACATTTTACTTTAAGAAGCATATTCTCCAAATATTCAATAATTTAAAAAAAAAAAAANAAAAAAAAAAAAAAAAAACAGAGTAATACCTGGTGTTTGATAGTTAAGAGCTACCATTTGAACTCCAGAATTCCAACACTTCATGGGGTCATAGTTGGAACTGTCGATACGGCTTCCTTTCGGGTAAACTCTGCTAAACTGTAGCCTATGATATGTGTGAAAATTAAGGAAATATTTACAACTTAGGGTTCTTTTAAAATCCACGATTTTTAGAACAAATGCTTAAAAAAAACTTTTTTTACTACCCTTTTTAGATCTATACTTTTTTTTAAACAATATAGCTGCTACGCTGTTTCAGAAGACTAAATATAATACTAACATAGAGAAAAAAGAAATAACAAATACTGAGATATAATATCCTTTTAAGATATAATTGCGAATTAAAATTAATAAACACACAAAATTGAACAGAATATTATCTTTTAAAAGAAACAAAATAAGATTCAGCATAATTTTAATTCATGAGAAATTTTGATATTTTATTTATTGCAGCTAATAAAAATAATTCACATGTAATTTTATAACTGCAAATGAATAAACTTATAAAAAAAACTTTAACTTAAAATATTACGCTATTTTACACTACCCATTAATCAAATTTTTCTTATTGCCTAATTTAAAAAATTATCAAGTTATTTGTATTATATTACTTACATGTTTATACAAACATATTATGATAATAAAATTTAAGAGATAGATAACCACTAAAAGTAGATGCCTTAAACTAATTTTTTATTTTATTTCAAGTCAGTTTTCTATATATAGATTGTTATATTTCTTCCTTCTGAAGATGGACAATCAATTAACAGGAGGATAGTGTTAATCATTTCGGAAAAAAAACAGCAACAAATTATGGTTGTAAAAAATCAGCCTCATTCGTAAAATTGTGTCTTGTTCATATAAAACTTCGGTTTTATGAGAAGGATTTAAATATATGTTAATGACAAAAATAAAAATAACCATATGTAAAATTAGCAAATAAAAGTGAAAGAAACACTTCCTATAGCAATGGAAAATCTAAAATAATTCATGCTACTAAATAATGTGTGTAAAAGTCACATTTTTCTTCATCCAGATTAACATATGTTTATAAACCTATAAAAAAGCCATTCAGAAATTATAATTAAGACACGTTAAATATTTATTTTATTGGGATATTTAAGATTAATACGTTTATGTTTACTAATATACATATATAGACTAAATAAAAAATTTTGTAAAAAAAGGATATTTTAAAAGAAACTTGGAATTTGCAGCAGATACCCATTTTTCAATTTTAGTTTCAGGAAATGATGACATTTCTGTAAAATTACCGATTTCTGAAAGAAAGGGAAAAATAATATATTAAAAAAGTTATGCAACTCTGCAATAAATAGATTTATAATATTTTCAATAACATGAATCAGGGTTCATACACAAAAGTGAAAAAGAATAAAATAAAGGTACAGCAAAAGGACTATTAGGCCGGGATAGCCTGGTTGATAGGGGGTTGGGCCCATGTTCAAGAGGTCGCGAGTTAAACCTCTGTTGGCCGATGATTCCCTGTGAGCAAAATGTTGACTGGTATATGTTAAATCTGTCGGAGTCATAAAGTTCTCCAAGTTCCAATAACAAATCAATAAATCTGGGGGTATTGGATTGGAGATTTTTGTTCTCTGGTTCAGGTAAAAATTAGAATCTGCAGATGGAGGGTGTGTGAATGTGTCCTCCTTGTAAAACGGGCTGTGATGTATATGTGTGGCAGAAGTGAAATTCTTGGCCATAGATGGCATCACTGGAAAACAAGAAGATTATCCCCTGCCTTTAAAATACACTTGTTAGCCATATGGCATAATTTTCTGAGCTTTCTGCGACAATTCTCTCTAGTATTAATATCTTTCTGAAACACATGTTACTGAAACACATGTTACATGAAACACAAGTTAACTTTTTGTTAAATTCTTAAAAAAATATCACAAGTGTTTCTTCCACCTCCAATATGTGAGAAAGGCTTTTTTTGAAAATAATTCTGCAGAAATGGAGAAAGAAAAAAGAGCTCAGCAAAAATAATATTTCGAAAAATTCTGCAGATTAAAAAACAACTTTTTTGCTTCCCAAACGAAAAAACTTTCTGCAAGAACTCAATTCTGTGACAATGTTGCCGTGTCGCCAGAATTGACAAGTGGCATAAGACAACAACAGCAACATAAGGCCTTTTCAATTCACTTGTATATGAATCTTCAATGGGTAGAAATCTATAAACTAATCTAATAAATTAAAATTATACCTTTTTATAAAATTTGTGTTTGTTTTTAAGGGCAATAATTGTCGTCCAATTGAAAACGAATATTATAATAAAAAACAAGACTATGTAGGGGTTAAAACTAATTTGCTATGTGCTATATAATCTGTAATATATTTGTGTACTGTTTGTGTAAGATTGAGCAATCGAATTTTGAGTTTTTAATGAACAATATTAATTAAAACAAAAAAATGTTGGTCGGAATTCTGAATATTTTGATTCCACAAACTAATTATTTTCAAATCAGTAATGGCAGTTTTAAATGCACACAAAAATCAGGAATATCGGGACAAAAAACTAAAAATCAGGAAAAATTAGTTTTCTTCTTCTTCAAAAAAAAAAAAATTAGAAAAGCCACAAACACTGCAATCTATAGTACAAAACCCGTTATCCGGAAATCAGAAAACCGGAAAACCAAAAAACCGGAATGAAATTCTATAAATTTTCCCGCCATTTTTTTAAAGAAANTAGTTTTCTTCAAAAAAAAAAAAATAAATAAAAAATTTGAAAAGCCACAAACACTGCAATCTATATATTTTTTTAAAAAATAATTATTATATAATATCTAAAATTTAAATGTTTATAAAACCTTATTAAATAAAAAACAGGAACAATACAGAAACTATTAAAATAAGCTAATAAATTTAAACCTTACTTTCTGGACTAAATGGCATAGATCGGCAATACACAATTAACTTGGACAGTTCTTTGGCTATTCTTAACGTCCTTTCCATCTTTTTGCTGTGTAGCAACTAAACAAAAGTAGTGTAATTTTCATTATTTAAAAAATGTTATTTCTCACACAAGATAATGCGATATACAAGCACACCTAAATTTAAATCTAAATAATAATATTTAACATAAGTATCAATATAAAATGACAGGAAAAACATTAGGAAACAAGAGTTGTGACATTGGTTTATTAATGATAATGTAAAACATTGAAAATAGATGACTAATAAAATTTTAATTTAAAAAGCTTAGCCACACTAACTTTCCTAACACTCGACATGCTAATAAAGGATGGCCAGAAACACAAAATAAATAAAAAAATCACTGACTTTTCTTAATTTCTGTAGCCAGGTATATAAATTTTATAGTTAACTTTTTAGTTAAAATTAACTCTTATACATAAAATACATTAAAAACACTTATCCTTGTAATTACAGTTGAAAGTAAGCGTTTTCTATTTTACAAAAAACATCAGATTTGTAGGTTACTAATTCGTTTTTCCTGACTTTTTTAGTACTTTAGCCAAATTAATTAACTTCCATGATTTTACGAGATTGATAAAATTTTCCTAACTTTTCTCTGTTCGTACTGTTTGGAAGCACCCAGTAGTTAGAAAGAAAAAAAAGATGAGTAGATCTGCTAAATGAGTTGTTTACGATTCTTAAGGAGATACCATTTTCCAATAACCTTGCATTTCAATAATAAATTACAAAATGAATAATTTATATAAAAAATTAAATTAAAGTAAAAAATTATAAAAGGAATGTTAAAAAAAATTATTGTTGTATACAGTCAGTTACTAAAGTAAAAATTTATGTCTTCTTGCAAAAGAATTTACAAAGGTAATATTATTAGTAGAGTAACCTATGTCTCACTTGATGCTAGGTTCATAAATCTAAAGGCATTTTCAAAATTAAAATTTTTTAATTTTATGAAAAAAATGTCATTTAAATTCTATAGATACCATGTCATTGGCAGATTGCGCTGTCTCTCGAATTTTTTGTATCCATTCAGCCATTTCTTCTCTGGAACCGGCAGCAATTTCTATGGGAGTGACTTGACGAGGTGATACAATACGAAACACAAATTCTCTTCCTCTATTTGATGAAGTCAAAATATCTAACAATATAAAAACATATGTTTGGAATTTGTTTAATTATTGATTTAAGAGATTTAAAATCAACAAAAAGGTTGTAAAAGTTAACTACCACTGTGATTATTAAACATCAATTCACTAGTATGTAAGACATGCTAACTAGATTCAATCCTGGGGTACCTTTTGATAGATGAAGGTTGGCATTGTCGATTACTACTCACCCCACATTGGTGACATGCGGACGTGATATGAATTTGACAACCTCGAAAGTAACACCTATTTTAGCTGAGACAAATTTACTTAATGAATGGTACACATTGAAAAGTTGACTTGCGCCATCGTCCTCTTCGAGCTGCTGCTTCTCAGTCTCATTTACACACAACGGGATCCTAAACACACTCTACAGCTAATAGCAACACAATAGTGATCACACACACAAATGCAAATTTAATAAAGCTCTCACGACAAGCTCTCCTGGTCTTTTGCAAATATGGCAACTAGTGGCATCCGTTCATCGCATTCTACCCCTGATAAAATTCTGGTGGTATTGTGGCGTAACTACCACTCCGATTATTAAACATAAATTCACTAATATGCAAGACATGATAACTTGATTCAATCTTGGGGTACCTTTTGATAGATGAAGGTTGGCATTGTTAATTACTACTCATCCCACAAGGTAAATTAGCAAAAACTAAGGCCCTTTTTGATTATAACACATAGCCTTAAAATTAAATTAATGTGTTTTTTATTTTTATTTTGCCTGATTTTTGCCTTCTGTACAAAGTCTTAGTAACTATTTTTTTACTTGTCACATTCGACCTTATTTGTTTTGCAATAGAAATATGGCGGAGGTATATTAGCATTGCATGCCGACCGGCCTGTGTAGAGGTTAGGGAACTGCCTTTGCATCAGAAAGGTTCTGGGATCGAATCCCGGGCAAGGCATGGATGTTACTTTTTCTCTGTGTGTTCTATGTCCTTTCTTCTGTGTGATTGTGTGAATGTAACCTGCCTTATAAACGGGTTTGTGGTTGTATGACGTGAGCATTTCTGAGGCCAATGGGAAATAGACCCAAGTGCCCGCCATTAACCAAAAAAAAAAAATAGCATTGAAGTAAGATAGAAATTATGTATTTGAATGCGAAGCTAATTCTATTTTTTAATAAGTGGTTTTTAGTATGTTTTTTAAATTCAAATAATCCTTCAAATTATATTTACAACACAAATTTATGCATTAAATAATTTATTAAAATTAAGTCATACTTACCAACAGTGCAGTTAACTATGTCAATGCTTCCCTTTTGCAGACTACCAAGGGGCATAGCTTCAACAGACTAAACACAAAATAAATGAAAATTGAATTACATCAAAATCAAATAAAATTAAAAGTTTACTGATAAAATTGTGACAAGGATTACTGCTTTGAAATAAATCCAAGTATAATAACAGCAACAACAGATTTATTAATTAACAATTAAAAACCATAAAAAAACAATTAGTAAAATAAAATGGCCCTCAGGTGCCAAAATGCAGATATATAAAAAAATATACCTTCACAGAAGAAAAACCTCACGCGACGGTTCTTCTTTGTCTACTCCTACTTCCAGAATTATTTAATAGGTGCGGGATTGACTAGCCCTTTAGAGGTTAGCCAATCACTACAAAAATATTTTGAACTATATAAATGGGTGATGATCAATGCCAACAGCTCATTACGACAGAAAAACTATGAATTGTGAAATTTTATAGATTTTTGTGCTTAAATCATAAGTAACATAATTGATTTAAATAACACAACAGCCAAAATTTTTTTTACTACACTAAGCATTAAACATAAATAAAAGGGGATATCAGCTTTAGAAGCCCTAGAAATTAAACTTTCTGAGCATTAACCATGACTGGGGAATTTTCTCCAGAAATTTTTTCCCCATGTTCAATGTTATTCAGCGAGAAAGCCTTGGGTACCAGAAAAACTTCTGTACAATTTCGCCAATACTTGAAAAGGTAAAAGCTATTAATAAAAAACTTCTTACAATTCAACTTTAAAATACTTATTTTTAAAAAAAACATACATTTTCGTCGCCATTTTCCTGTGGTTCAATTTCTTCAACGTAATTTGCTGGAAACCAGTGTTGTTTTTTCCCACCGTAATCGCCTTTCCACCAACCTCCACTTTCCTTCACAACATTTGTGATGATAGCATGTTTACAAAATGACAATTCATCGACGCGTGTTGCACGATAGTCATACAAAGCTTTCACAGTTATCTATAAGAGAATTATCATTAAAATATTTTAAAATTAAAATTGAAAAAAAAAAATAAATAAATAAATAAAATAAAAAAAATTTGTTAGGTTTCAGATTCAAATTGTAAAATACAGCAAATTAAGCGGAAAAGTTATGGTAAGGTAATGCAGTAGAAAATTGATTGATCATTTCTCACGGAATCATTCATTGCGAATGACAAGTCAACACAAAATATCAAATAACGACTGGAAAATGTATGAAAAGTAATACAAGATATTATTACAAATTGTTGAACCCCAAATGCAGAATTGCGGCGACATTGTCGAAGAATGTTACTGAGTTCTTTGAAAAAGATTTTTTTTTTGAGAAGTAAAAAATTTTGGTTTTCTTTTCTGCAAAAATTTCAGAGAGATTTTTCTTTTTTGCAGAATTATATTCAAAAGATGCCTTTCTTGTGCATCTGAGGGGTATGAAATGCTGGCGACTTTTATATATTCATTACAGAAATAAAAAATCGGTGATGACAGGCTTGAATAAAATTTCAAATGGATAATACATATAACATATATTTTAAAATATTGTTTACTTTAGAAATCATGTTCTATCCTTTCATTATTTTGAAAGGACACAATCTTCTTTCATTTAATAAAATATGATTGTAAGTGAGGATTTTGTTACAAATTTAGATTTATAGTAAATGAATTAATTAAAGTAATATATTAACCCTTTTTGATAAATTTGATAGAATAAAATCTATCCAATTTTTTTAATATATTACGCACATGAAATTTTAAATCAAGCATTTTAGTCATCATTTTAGAGCTCACAAATTGCACCGATTCCATCGTAAATAAATGTAGTGTTTAGGTATTTTTTTCTAACAATTATTTCTACAAATTGAATTTTTTTTTCTCAAAGAAAATCCTGGTGTCTTTTATTGCTCAGTTACTATTGTTGATATTCGCAAGATTTTCTTTTTTAATAATGAAAATGCCGATATTATTTACGGTACGGAATTTTCGAATCCCGGATTCAAGAAATCACTCTTAACAAGCCCAATTTCCATAGATATCATCGTTGATCTGTAGGTATTTCAATTATTGTTTCTTCGACAATTATTGCTACGAACTTCCCCATTTAAAAAAAAAAAATCCCTGGTGTTTTTTAAGACAATTTTATTGGACACAAAACTCAAATTGCTTATTTGATTATTTCTTTCTTTAATGCGACGATTTTATAATTTTTTCGTCTTTTCGGAAAAATTCAGTTTATTTTTTAGTCGATATTATTTCTACATGTAAAATTTGAATCACACATTAAATAATCACCTTCTGATACAAATTACAATTGACACCAATTATAACGTAAATCTATAGTGTTTGATTGTATTTTCAACAGTTATTGACATTAATGTTCAAATTTTTATCATCGGATATTTTTATAACAATGTTTAATACATCAACCGAATCTCAAAACGAAACACCCATGAGTAACCCCTTTATAAGGAGTCCAATTTGCGTGATTTCATAGTCAATCCTATTTTTGTAAGTTACTGTAACGGATTTCACAATTTTAAATTTTTTCTTTAATGTGATGATGATTTATAAAATGCAAAAAAGAAATAATAAGTGCATTTTTTCTCCTTAAAGAATATCGCCCACAGCATTAGAACAAAAAAATATTACATATTCTATTACAAAAATGCATACAATATATTTAATCCAAATAGGTTTTCGGATTGTAAACACAACGCTTTTATTACTTTAAATTATTAACAGATATATTTGCTATAATTAAAAGTATCTTGTTCAGAAATAGTAGTGCTAGAAGTTTGTCGCAGAAAGCCCGAAAAAATTCTGTGTCAGGATTGTTGAACAATGATATTCCTTCATATAAAGGATTTAAATGATTCAGAAGAATTATTTCAAAGAAATTTAAAATATTGAAAATTTAATATCTTACCTTAGAAATGAAGCAGTTGGGATCCATGTACATTCCAGGGGGACCATACACAGGAGAATATTCTGGTTCCTAAATATAAAAACACTGGTGTTAAAAAACTACATAAACTTTTATTTTTCATATTACCTTTTATTAGATATATTATAATAGAAATGTGAATTTTTACATAATAATTTAAATCTTCAGAAATTAACAATGACAATAAATATATTAGTATGCTATGTAATTTATATGATTTCAATGATATAGCTAATAAGAATGTTGAATAGGAAATGAAAACGAAAGTACATTCAATCAAAACTTCAACGTTCCATTTATAAAAAAAAAAATTATTTCAAAAATAAATAAATAAAAAAGTAAGTTAATCCGAGAAATAAATCAATATCCTTTTATCGTGAGCATATGTTTTTTTAAAAATGTTTTTGAGTTATTATAGATGTAATAATTTTGTATAACAGAAAACAATGAATTTAATTGTATCAGATATTTTCTTTATGAATTATAAATTATTACATTATCTTTTACTATAACTACAATGGATTTTTCATAAAAAAAGGATAAATTTGTTAAGACCGCAATTTATCTTAATATGAATTACTTTTAATAAATATGGATTACTTTTAATAAAAAATTTGTTTTTAGGCTATTATAGTTCTTATAGGATAATGTGTGTTAAGAAAAAGGATATTTCAGGATAAATTTGCTAAGATAAAATCAATTCACTTTATTTTTGTGGAAAATTGAATAAAAATTACTTTACAATCAATTTGAATGCATTGAATAAAAATATGATCACTATACATAGATTTATAGACAATGATAAAACTTATTCACTAAAATATTAAATAGTATATCACTCACTCCACCGATTCTCCTTACAACTTCTTCATTAACTGGATACTTAAGTTTCACTTTGCGATACAAGGTATGTTTTTCATAATAGTTAACTAATTCCACTAAGCTCTCAAATTGTGCAGTGCCAATAGTGAAAAGGCGACCTTCGAGTTTGATTCGGCAATGTTTGATTTTATTTTCAGCTCTAAGAAATTGATGTAAATAAAAAGGATTATTTTTACAACAAAACATAAACAATAATTTTTTGTACACTAAATTTCTATAAAACTTGTTTTTAAAAAGCCAAAATCTCCTGTACAAGTTGACTCAATATAAAATGTAAACTACCAGAGTCTACTGATATAAAAACAATGGGGATTCAAATTTGGAAGATAAACAAGGGAAACAAAAGCATTAATAAAATAATTTTATAATTAGTATTTTACAAATGAAGAACTTGATACAGTATGATAAGCCACATTTTAAAATTGTTCAAGGGAGAGTTTTTTGTTAAAAGCACCAAAATTTTCATGTTGGCATTAAGATGTTTCTGTGTTTATATTGTTATTGAGTGAAAATTCTGGAAAGTGTAAAGAGTTCAGCAGGAAAAAATATAATACAAAGTTAGATATAAAAATGTTATTTTTTGGAAAATGTGGGTTATCACTTTATTACCTAAATCCTCCAGATATTATCAAAGGAAAGAATTTGTTCAAATTTTTCAGAAAAACCTGTGAATTTTAAAATACTAATTTCTATAGATTGTTGTGTTACATAAATATTGTTGTGGTGCAGTCGTTAATATTTTGTATTAATAAAATGGGAAAGCTGCTAATGATGACTTATGAAATTTATACAACACTTATAATAATACTTAGTATATATATAGTACAGGGCTATAGGACAAGATTAGGAAATTTTGTTATTGGCCAGCTGTAGCAGTGGCTACTTTAACAAAAATAAAAAAAATCTAAATGATTAAAAAGACAGTTGCTCTTAATGATGTAAGGCATTCCTTTTGAAGCATTTCTCAAAATATGGCTAACATTACGAGGGTCATTTCCAAAATGAAGAAAAATTTTAAGAAACAATAGCAAAAGAAAATAACTTTTAGAATATTATAAAATATTCAAAATAATTTCATATTTATTATAAAATAATAATAATAGAAAGTACATGGGGGTGAGTTTGGACAAAATAAGTGGCTGTCAGATGAAGACTGCAGACAATTTTTTAATCATCATTTGCTATACTTAGTTGCCCTGTGGCAACTATTACTTTTGCCTTATAATATATTGAGTTTAAACATAAGTAATTCAAAGAAAGGTCCTCATAGGTATAATTAATTTTAAGGTAAATATATTGGAGGATATAGAGTCTAACATACAAAAATAACTAAAATTCCATAATTTGATACAAGGAAAAAAAAAGCAATAATGTAAAGGTGCAAGTCTTAATTAGTAACTAAGCATCTTTATAAAGATGAGAATCACACTAGTAAATAAAGCTCTTGAATAAAGAAGATTTTACCGAAATGAAATGGCAAAACAATTAGCTTCTTTTTCGCTCGGTCTCACTAAGAAAGCTCCATCATAATGCACTCGTTTCAGCATATCTTCTGCTTGAGCTCTTGTCATATTAGCATGATACCACCTATTTTAAAATAATATTAACTCCTTTGTTAATAACAGAATAAAAATGAATAATACTACAAAACTTTTAATAAACTAAACTAAATTGCCAATATTTTTTTTTTATAGAATTTGAAATATTTCACAAAAGACTTTTTAATAAGTGGTAGATTTAATAAAGAAGTAAGTAATGGATATAAACACATTGTGAATTGGTAATTATAATTTAAGTACTTAATTCTTCCCTGGGTCATGATTAATACAAAATTCATATGAAGTAACGCATATCAAATGTTTTCAAAATCAGATTTTGGAATGTATTGATATTTTAGAAGTAAAAATACTCATTGGCTATTTAAAAATCAAGAAATATTTTTAAATATGGATTTCTAGTACACAATGTAATTCTTTAAGATATTTGTATTTTTCCTTTAATCCCTTAGTAGTAGTTCGAAAGTGTTTTATTTCTTTTTAAACTATTAGATGGTTGCTTTTTTGATTCAGAAATTTTTTTTTCATGCTATTTAATAAGAAAATCTAGAACTAGAACATTTTTTGAACAAATTTGCAATGAGAAAAACTTTGTAGGTGTGACGATTTTAAATAATCATTTGACAATTTCATGTAGTCACAATGTGTGGTTATTGCAGCCTTCTCACAGAATATGAGTTTGATTAAAATGATAGGACTAATTATAGAACCTAATATTTCAAGGACCAAATCTGATGTGGCCAATACCTATTTTGAAGAATAACCTTCTGAGGAGCCTGATTAGAAAAGTGATATCTCTCTCCATAAGACCTCTTAATAAAAAAAATACCTTTGTGTTTAGTTGACAATAATGACTTGAACAATTTTGATGCAAATTTGGCACAAGTTTCACTGTCATAGGAATTTAACAAGTTTTGCAGCAGCAAATACAGTTGGTTCTCATTTGTTTGGTTTTTGTATTATCTGGCTGGGTACAAAATTAGGAATATAAAAACCAGACTGGCCTTGCAAAACTGGTTGCAGAAGGTGGAGACTGCAAAAATGAGGAATGGTAAGTGGTTTATCTCTACATTTTGACTTTTCCTAATCATAAATTTTAGCAATTGGTAAATTAATAAATACTGAATATTTTTGCATTAATAATTAATTTAAAAAATTGCAACATGAACTTTTTATTATAGGAGAGAAAGGATAGGAAGTGAAACTTTATCCGATCCCGCTATTTTGCAATCAGGTCAACTGTTCCGCCATAGTTGAACAGATAGTCAAAAACCTACTATACTAAGTATTCTACATGAAAAATACTAAGATTCTGCATGAAAAATATCCTATAAATACAATAGTACAAAAATCTAGATTTTGAATAAATTTATCTGAATTTATCAAGTTTTGGATTTGAGTAATTTTAATGTTGAGGAAATCCATTAAATATATTTACTCTTTTCCTTCATGCTTATTTGGTTGTGGTACTGGTTCCGTCAGACACATGCAGAATTCTGGACTTCTTAGTTGATTGGATTGATAATAGGTAATAAGACTGTACAATGTATCAAATGATATGGTATCAATCAGGTAATACTTTGTTTGTCCTCTTTCTTGTCTTGATCTGATGCGGCAGTGATTCACTGTACCCTGTCGCCTAAAAAAGAAAGATAACATCAAGATTGCGGAATATAAATTACAATTTTTCATAATTGAAATTTAGTCTATATTAATTTTAAAGAAAAGCAAATTTAATGAAGCTTGGCCAAATTAGATAAAAGTTTGTAACAATTGGATTTTTACGTTTTTTTTTTTTGGATTTTTACTTTTTTTAAAAGAAATATTATTGTTATAAATGAAAAAGAGGAAGGAGGAAATCAGAAAAATATTTTAAATCTCTTAACAAGTATAAATTTATAAGAGGTATTGTATATGATGCACTGCAATACTTTAACTTTCGTTACTTGTAACGGAAGTAAAGAGTACATACTTTCAATGGTACTTCACTTTTCAACTTTAGCACTGTTACTGTTATACTTGTTTTTTGTTACAGCTTTAGGAAAATAGCACAAGTATTTGTAATAAAACTGTTGAAAGAAATAGTTACTTTAAAAAAAAAAAAGGAATTTTTCGAAAGCTATTCTCAAAAAACTTTTTTGGAAAGTTTTCCTTGTTCATATTAGTTTAGTTTGGTTTGAGGCAAAGAATGGAATGCCTTAAAGACTTAATCATATTTTAAAAAAAGATAAGTAATATTACAAAATCTAATTGCCTTATACTTGAAAAATGACTTAATCTATTTATTTGATGGATTTAAAAATTTATTTAAGTTTGGCAAGCAATATTTTTGTTGTCTATACATATACACTGGAAGTTTTTATAAATAATTTCAATAATTTATTTAATGCTACTATACCAAAAACATTTTGCCACAAAATTGAAATTCTTCAGCATTTAAGTCTTAAAATATAAAAATTGTGCCTTATTTAATTAAAATATAGTATGTATTCGAAAGTTTAGAATTTTTCTTAAATTATATCATGTAAAAATATTAGTTCATCATATATAATGCTTAACGTATCATCATAAATATTTTGTTGTACGAGTTAATTTATTCCCAAACTATAATTTCTAAAGATTTGAAATTTTTTAGAAAAAAAATCATAAATCATATTTATATGCAAACATTGCATTTTGATTTCTAATTTGTCTTCGGCAAATATGTTAAATATTTCAATGAATTTTGTAATATTTTCATATCTTTTAAAGTTTTATATCACCTAAATAAAAATTAAATACATATTAAATGTAAAAGTTTATATTTTGCTCTTACATTTTATAATGAAATGAAAGATTACTTTGAATTTTTGATTTCATTGAAATGTCTTTTAAAATAGTTACTTTTTTTGTTTTGTACTTGTACTTCTTACTCATTACTTTTCAAAATCAAAAATTTTTACACCTTACTTTTCCTTAAAGTACTTGTACTATTATCTTTACCTTTTAAAAGTAATTTTCCCAAGTATGTTATATATACTTTACAATCTTTAAGAGGTAAATCTAAAGATTTCTATCTTAATAGACAATCTTAAAAGTTTCTCTAACATATACACTACACAATAAATAGATACCCCTAATTTTAATTCATATTCAAATTTTGAACACTATTGTGCCAGAAAATTTTTTAATCAAAGTAAAAAAACAGGTAACTCAAAAGGATATGAAGCAAAATTTTTTTAAATGCAAATTTTATAAAGAAAATGAGACATATTCTAGAAGTGACATAAAAATGAGAAATTTCAAAACATAACCGTCAAATATTTGAGACATAACAAGAAAATTATAAATTGCAAATTAAATCAACCATCATGTTGAAAAGTGCATGAACAATATTGTCATTTAAAAAGTAAACTTATAGTAAAAAAAAAACATTAAATAAATAACTAAGCTGATTTCACAGAAGAGAATATTTAATAAATGCATTTTAGTAAAAAATACTACTAACAACACCATTTAAAAATGTTTGTTAACATATTGGCACAAGAATTTAACGCAGACGAACTGATTCATATAATGGGTAATCAAATATACATAATTCTGATCATTTTCATATTTCCTTCCCTATTTGTTTCAAATATGCAAAAATAAAAACAGAAAATAAAGTTTCCTACCAAAAAGATAATGAGTAGTCTCCAACAAAGGTTTCACTTTCTCGTACCAAAAAAGTACCATCACCTAAAAATGAGTATTGATTAAGGAGTTCTTGAGCTTGAGTTCTTCCTCCACTCAATTTCCCATGGAACCATTTTTCACCAAAATGAAGCTCATTGCTAGGAACACCCTAAAAATATGAGCAAGAGTAATAAGAAAAAATGCATGTTCATCAATATTTCTTTAACAAACGAAATATTGAAGGTGCTAATAACTAAAAATGTAGAAGTTCAAAATATAGTGTTCCGCATAGTCTCATAGTCCCACCTTGTACGTACATTTTTTTAAAAACTAAAATTAGTTTTAAATAAAAGGTTACAATTTCAAAGTGATACAAACAAGAATAGAAATAACTGGGCAGTAGGAGCAGGTCTAACAAATAATGCTTTATTAAATATAGAATTAACAATAATAAGTGCTTGCTTGTTGCAATAATTAGGAAGAGACAGAAAACAAATAAGCCATGTTAAAGAAAACATATATTTTTGTACTATTACTTAACAACCATGCATTATTATAAAAAACGACAATAAAAATATTAAAATGTATTAAAAAAGGGACAACTTTATACATAAATTAGCAACGAAATGTAGACGAAAATGCCATAGAATGTATATCACCTAAATAGCTTGAAGATTAAAGAACAGAAAATAGGCCTATTTCTGAATATTGTGCACATCATATATTACCAGGGTTAAAAAATTCATAAAAAAAAAGGATTATCAAAAAAGCTCGACCCGCCCTTAAATAGGGCGGGTCGAGATACAAATAAACTCATAAAAAAAAGGATTTATTTTATTTAAATTGAATTTTTTCATTTTTACCAGTTAAATCATCTGATAAAATGTATTAACAGTACTTAATATTATTAAAAAAAGCAATATAGCTAGAATAACTAATATTTCTAACTAAGTTTCAAAACTTATTTTTAATATTACAAACTAATTATTCAATAAATAAAATAACGTTTTTTTAGTTCAAGCCAAACAAACTAAAATTTTAAAAAATGGGAGACAATTTGTTAGTTAGATATTCAACGAAGAGTAAAACAGTTTAGATTACAGTAACGAAAAAAAAAAATCATTGTAAGTTTCATTGGACAGAACACTTCTTTTATTAATATTGGTAAACACTAATTACATATTTAAATGTTTTAAAAGCCCTTAAGGTATTAAAAAAAAAACATAAAACTCAACAGGTATTATTTAAATATGTTCATTACTCACAAATTGATTTACATATAGCTAATAGAAAATTATAACTTAATAGTTTAATGCCCTTAAATACTTTGTAACTTGTTGTTTGTAACACTAAGTTTACTCAAATAGATATGAAGGAGAACTACTTGTTAATATATTTTAATTTCCTTTGTTTCCTGATATAAATGAATTTTTCCTTCATTTTATATCTGGCATAAAGAATAAGACTTTGCCTTTACAAATTCATTGAACTATTAAGCTAGATAAAACCATTTATGATTTTATTATTTCAGTGATTAGTATGTCATAAATATCTAATAATTTTTATAATTTGTACTGAAATAACAAAATACTTAAGTTATAATATTGCTTTTAAATAATAAGTATGGTTAATATATTTTATTAGAGCATTGATTGGTATAGATAAAACAAATTTTTAAAAAAAAAACTGATTTTAAAAATAATGATTTTTATTTTTATTTTAAATCATGTATTTTGCCCAACCCAACATAAATGTGATTTTATAAAAAGAATGTTCTTTCACTCCTTTGGGTTGAGTACTTGTAAGCTGGATAAAACCAAATATGATTTTATTTTTTAAGTGATTAGTATGTCATAAATGTATAATAATTTATACAATTTTAATTGAAATTACAAAATACTTAAGTTATAATATTGTTTTTAAATAATTAAGCACTGTTAATATAGTTTATTAGAGCTTTAATTGGTATAGGTAAAATTTTTCTAATAAAACCTCCTGATTTTTAAAGTTTTTTTCTCCCCTTCAAATCATGAATTTTGCCAATGCGACATAAATATGATTATATAAAAAGAATGTTCTTTTACTTCTCTGGGTTGAGTACTTGTATCTTCATTGTCATCATCTTCATCTCGACTTTCTTCTTCTTCTGCATAATACATCTTATTCTGAGTAAGCATGAAGAAGTGAGGTCGCCACTCATGATCAACAGGATCTTCCAAGTATAAAATACCATTCTTTATGGCATTGCTGATGTCAGATTCAGCTCCTGCTGAAATTTTAAAAAAAGTTTAAAATTAGCTAATTTATAATAATCAAGATGCCCAAAATAAAGCTTTTAAGAAGGAAAAAAATTATGCTGCATTGTGATGATAGTAAATAAATTTTTAAAAAAAATAATGTTTAAAAAAAATAAAGCATTGATTGAATTTAAAGGTACAGGGTTTGAAATTAATAGTAGTTTAAGTTCTCTAAGATCAAACTTGGATCCCTAAGAAATAACTACCAGAGGTAAAAAGGTAAAAATAATTAAAGACTTTAGAGATAGAATTTTTTTTTCAGATTTAAATTGAGTTCTAAGTTCTAAAGTTGGATGAAGTTTTATAGTTAAATAATTTTTGAAGCATAACTGAAACAAAAGTTCTTTTCTCAACTAAACTTCTAATTTAAAACTATAAATGCATATTAATAAAATAAAGCAATAACAAATACCTTCATCATTTCTTACAACTATGCGTTCCTCGTGACCTTCAGGAAGCTTTTTGTGCTGCAAAGAAAATATGGTTTAAAAAATACTATCTCTCATTTCATCACTGATTTTAATTTGAATTTTTAGATGCTGAAACAAGAACTAAAGACATTTTGAAAATAGAAAATAAATTAAAAAATCTGGGATTTCAGTTTAAAAAATTATAGTTTAAATTTCAATATTTATTTTAAAGTAAAACATGCTATTACAATATTTCTTGAGTCACCTTGATTATTATCTTTCGTTTTAGTTGAGCAGGAGAGGGCATTTGCATTCCATCTCTTTCAACTGGTTGAGTTAAGAGCAAATCTAAAAAGCATTCATAGTTATAAATAATCAAATCAAAAATATTACTGCAATAATTAATAAAAACAGTTATTAATGTGAAAAAAAAATACAACGAAAGTAATGTTAATATTTAAATAATTTTTTTAATCAATTATTTATTTAAAAATAAAAGCATATTAAAAAATATTATTTTTCTAGCTACATATTAAGTATTTCAAAAACACTTGACAGATTTTAAATTTTTCTTATACTTTTCCAATCATGTGTGGCAAAAATTTATACAAGATTATATTTCTATTTGCGACAGCTAAGTTTTACAAATTGTACAAATAAAAAAATTATATGAAGAAACAAAGCTAAGTAACCAATCTAAAATAAAAATCTTGTGAAAAAGGAGAAAAAATCATAACTTAGGCAGCACAAGTTACATATCTCAGCTTGCATGAAACAAAGCAATCATAGAAAAATTATCACAATATCTTTAAATTAGTACTTTCATTTAAATTGTTAAGATATTGAAAAAATAAAAATTTATTATGTTCTAGGTCTAGATGTTTCTATTAAACAGTTCTAATTAAAAAAAGAAACAACTAACTTATTGTATTGAATGTTGATCAATTGGAATTATGTACTCAAGTATAAAAATAAAACAATTTTATAATTAAGCTGACAGAAAAGAAAAGTATAACATTAAGTTGCTCGGAAAGTAATTTAGTTTTTCCTAACACATGACTTAATTGTATTTTTTATAGTCAACTTCATACTTAAGCCACATAAACACAATAAGTATTTAACAGCTGATATAGCAAGGCTCTAAGGATTGCTTGTGAAAAAGTTCAATTGATTCTACTCAGTAGTTTTTGGCTGATGTCCTTTCAAACATAGAAAGTGAAAAGCCGCATTTTCAATATACTTTACTTTCTAACTATCAAATGGGTAAACATGCAGCTCAAGCTAGAAAAAATTATCTAATGAGTATGCAGAAGATGTATTGACAAAACGGCAATGCCAAAATTGGTTCGCAAAATTTCAATCTGGCAAATTTCTATGTTGAAGATGAGCAACACCCTGAACAGTCAAAGGCGATTAAGACACAATAAACACATTAATTGAGAAAATCGGCAAATAGCAAGTCGTAAGTTTGCTGAGAAATGGATTCATCAAATTTGCTATTTCATGATCATTCGAATCTCTTAGGTTTCTTCGTGTTCTTACAGAAGGAGATTTGCGTTGTCCGCTTGACCTTTGTGATCTGTTTCTCAAACATTAAGAAAATTATTTATTTTTCAAGCACATCATTACTGGGGGTGAGGAATGGGTTGTCTACAACAATATCATGATCTCTACAAAAAATTTTAGATGATAAAACCTTTACTTTAAATGGGGAGGACAAAAATCATATGGATCAGTTTTATACCAGCAAATAAAAAAAAATTACTGGTGTGGAATCATGCTACTGCCAGACAGAAAACGAAAGATATTAGATCTGAATGAGAGCTGTATATAATTCAATAAAACATTTATTCCCATAATAAAATTGTCTTTCATTTTCATAAAACAAAAATGAAATAACATTTCAAACAACCTAAAATAACTCATATTTATCAAAATGGCTCTATCTGAAACAGTTTTGAAAATAAAAATATTCTTGGAATTTTTAAATGAATTTTTAACTTCAAAATTTTGTATAAGATGAAAAAGAGAAATTTAAAAGGAGAAAAAAAAATTAACGCCTTAATTTTTTGAAATTTGTTTTATTTTACTAAGTAATTAATCAAATATCAACGAAGATTAAAATGGATGCATCTAAACTTATGTATCTTCTGTAAATTAAAAAATAACAAAATGAATGACTTATAAAAATGGAACAAATAGTATAGGAAATGAAAAGAAAATATATAACAGAAAAGCTTTTAGCAAATAACACAGTATAAACATTTACCCCCAAATATTTCAAGGAAGGCAGATGCCATATTTCGCTGTTGAGGTAGTGTGCAGTGGTTTTCAAGACTAAGAATGACTGGATACCTAGAATAAAAATAGAAAGTCGTTAGATTCCTTCATACGCGAGTCAGATTTGTACAATGCTTATGGGGTCACAAATAATTTTTGTAAATACTATGGGGTCCTCACACCAAAAGGTTTAAGAAACCCTGGTTAAGAGCAACAGAGTATACATGAGAAGCACTTTCAGAAATTTGAAGCATCATTTTTATTTTAACTCCAATTAAAAATCGATTTTTTAAATTTCATAAATATCATTTTAAACTCAACTCTATAGGATTTATTTATTTTTAAAAAAAAAAATATACATAATCACTATTGGAAATAAATAGAAACTCATAATACTGAAATTAAGAGTAAAGCTATCAATTTTTCTATCATACATTCTTTCTCATGAAATCAATGCAAACTCACTTTCAGTAATAATTAAATTTGGTAATTTTGGTTATAGACTGCAGATTATTAATTATATTATCTTTAATAGTTACTATATTATAGTTACAACAATGAAAAACCAATAGATTTTTTCTTAGGTAAGAAATTTCACAAACATTAAAAAAAGTTAAATTTTTCAAGGCAGAAATAAATAAATGAAAAAAAGATTCAAAATAATTGTGCCACAAAAAGAAGAAAAAGAGAGATTTTCCAGTTATTGATTTTAAAAAAAAGGGACATATGTACACAAATAAAATGATAAAAAGTATAATAATGGAAATAAAATAGGTCGAAGACAAATTAATTTATACCATTTGTAGTTTCAATATCTATTTATTTTTAATAATATATTACATGAAAAAGAAAAAAAAACAATAACCAAATTTTGCATTTTTAAACTAATCAATTGCAAGCAAAAAGATATAAAATGACGAGAATAATAAAAGATGAAATTAGCAATTAGAATTTTTTAATATTAAACTTATTCATTTAAATATAGTTTCAAGTAAAATTAATTAACTTTGATTAGATAGACAATTTATGCACTGCAGAAACATAAATACATACTCTGATGCAACAAAAGCATGTTCTTTAATTGTTTTAATCACATCAAGAAATTTTATTTTGCTAGTCAATGTATGGCCATGGAAAACATGAGGCATACCATCTGGACCATCCCAGCAATCCACTGAAATTTAACAACATATTATGAATAATACAGTAATAATATAATTCAGGTTCACAGAATTTTTTAAATCATATTTACAAAGAGAAAAAAAGCCAGAGCCTCTTTAATTTTTGATAGTAATAAGATTATTCAGATAAAATGATAACTATTACTGTGTCTACTAAAGTCATAAAAGCTTAAATACTAAAAAGCTAAAGCTAAAATTTACAATCAGAATAAATAAATAAATAAAAAAAAATGAATAAAAATATAACAAAAAATTAGTTAGCATAACAATGGGAAGGTAAATTTTTTTATAGACAACTAATAAAATAATTAAAATTGAAATGCATTGCATTAAAATCAGCAATTATATATGGATACTAATTTTTTAGAAATCAAGAAAATAAGATTTTGTCAACCATTAGTTGCTCTTGTTATATAATGTGCAACATCAAGAAACTCAAATATATTAATTTCAATTACTCTTTAAGATCGAAAAATGTTTAGTAATCTGAATTAAAAATGCAGTTTGAAATATATCGATGCTAAATACATTTTGGTTAGTAATCAATTGTACTTTTTTAAACTACTATTATTACTAATTTTTGTTGTAGCCATCTATATACCAAAAAAGTCTTAGGCAGCTTTATCATTATTTATTTTAAATAAGTTTATCAACAATGAAAATAAAAAAAATATTTACAATATCAAAATGCCTAAAGAAAACTCACTGCAAGTGCACACTGTGGGTGCGAATAATAATGTAAAAACAATAATTTTAAACTTAGGAGAAATGAGGTCAGCTTGACAAAACAAAAACTGATTTACAGTATCAAAGTAAATTTAAAAAATAAATAAATAAATAAAATAATGCATTTAATAATACAGTAAAGCATTTAATAAGTAAAACAATAACAGAAAAATTCTTTTTTTTTTTAAGTTATGCAATTACTCCGTCCTAATTTGATATTTTGAGGTAGTTTATAATATCAGTGGAATATTCTTTTTATTGGATCTAGAGTTATTTCAGAACTGAAAATTTAGTAAATAATAATATAATTATCGTTAATTAATTAATTATTAATTTGTTTTTATAAATTTAAGCATTAATAATATTTAGTTGTAATAATTTTAAAACATCATAGATTGGATTTTCAAATACTAATTTACTGTTACTTTATCAATTTCATTAACATTCACAATATTTAATTCTTTATAAATTGAAATAAACGTTTTAAATTATTAAAATAACTGTTTGATTTGAGTTGTGTATGTATTTTTTTTTACCAGTAGTTTTTTCAGTGCTGCTTCATTTGGAACATTTCCCAACAACCCATACATACTTGTTAAACTTTTTATGAGTTGCAAAAGTTTTTGCACTTGCAAGTATTAAGCTTTAGTTCATAAACGTAAAATATTAATTTTATTCAAATTTTGATGTTTGTTGGCACTCACAATAGGTTTTAGTGTTTAACTAAAAACTATTTAAATCTAAATGAATGAACCTTAATATTTTGAGTTTCTAGAATGGACCATCTTCTAACAATTTTAAAAGGCATGCATGGAACAAAAAAATGGTTGTGAATTACTAGGCTAAAGTATATGAATATAATTATAAAAGAAACTTACATTCAATACAACGACATCCCATTCGGAGACACCTGGCATAAGCTTCAGTTGAGGATTCAGATTTAACTTGGTCACCAGTGAGGTAACTAAACAATGAATTATTTACATTAAAATATAAAATTCATCTTTTGATGTAAAATATTTGATAAGTAGCATTGGATGCCTATAGCAAAATTACATATCTTAAAGGAAAAATAAAGCTCTTTCTAAATTTTATTGCACACATAAAAGAAATGCAAAGCCTGTACGAATGTTCAACTTAAACTCACTGCAGTAAAGTAATAAAATCAAACACTTGCAGTTTTAAATTTACATTACGTTTTTCATAGGTTTTAATATTAATGCAAAATATTTTTAAAAATTGGAAGCATTTCAAGGGATTTATATACACGATACTTTCAATGTATAAAATGCTGGTAATCTTTTGAATGCCTAATCGCCGTACAGAATACCTGTCATTGTTAGGACAGAGTATAAAATATGAGAATTCTATAATTTGTTTAGTTATTGTATATAATGCAGATCTTCTTAAGTCATTCCATAGAATGCCTAGACAATGTATGAAACAATAATCATTTTAGACTTTGCGAGGAAATTTAAAAGCCTTCAATGGAGTGATGGACTTTGAAAGGAGCATATGTATAAAAAAGTATGTTTAAGCATTCATGCAAAATAATTACGGTGAACTGCCTATGTACTGAAAAAAAATTATAGACTATGAAAATTATTTCTTACGTATTATGTGATGATGCAATCCAATAGTTCACCAATGGTTGAGTCATGTCTTGATTAATTAAATCATGTTTAGACTCCCATGCATGGTTGTGTTTAGAAAACAAGAAATCTAAAAACTAAACACAAAATTTCAGAAAGTACACATTATTTGTTAAAAACATATTTTGGTAATGCTTAAAAAAATGTTATTCAAGCATAATTTATTAAAAAAATCTTCATATCAAATATTAACCATAGACTGGGTAGCTGATCACTGATTCATAATTAAAAATACTTACTATGTGCACCATAAAAACAGTTATTTTCTGATTTTTGTTAAATAATTGGGACAAAAACTAATAAACGCACAAATGTTATAAAAAGGAGCAGCCATTTTAACAAAAAGTTAGGTTCAGGTAATTGATAAAAGTAGTACATATAAATGAAAAAATCTTCTCAAAGGCAATTAGACATTTTACTAATTGAAAGAGACATTTTCTTAGGGGTTAATGTTAATTTTTGCTGTTATTGTCAGAGTTTTAATTTAATACATAAAAGTTTTAATTTCAGTTTTTATTGGCAATGTAATATCTTTGAATAATGAAATATTAGAAATCAATATTTTATGGTACCTACTAGCAAATTGCATTTCAAGAGTGGAATTAAAACCACATCTATAAAGTTCATCATAGATCTCTTAAGAATTATCATTTTTGTTTAAATCAAATATTTTTTTTTATTGCAAACTGTTAGCTGATAAATTATATTTTTCTCATATACACAAAGAAAAACTTTTAATATCTACAGCCAACTTGGTATGAAGAATATCTATTGAATGAAGAAATTTGAATTCAATGCTACATTAGAATTAAAAATAGTATTGCCAATAAATAGAAAAAATCGTATTAAAAAATTTTGTTGTTTTGTTTGAGTCATTAAAATGTTATATTGGGATTCACACATTTCCACCTCGTCTGCATTTTAGAACATTTTGTTGTTTTTGAAAATTAAACAGCATTTTAAAACTTTTAAGTGTTTGCATGTACTATTCATGAGATAACTATCAACAAATAGTAGGTAACTCAAATTACAAGGTATACATAAGTTTCTAGGATGAAGCCTTCAAACGCACCAACTATTAAACAACATGAAATAATAACAACAATAATAAATGAAGTATACATGTTGTCCACATTGTTAAAGAAAATATTACTTTACAAGAAAAAATAAAAGTTTAAAAACCTCAGGAACAGTGAAAAAAGGTTCTTGGGCATCTCTACTAGGATCTTCAAGGTACTCTCGCATGATCTTGCTAACTTTTTCTTCATCTGAAGCATCAGAATCCTATTTAGTTATAAAAAGAAGAATATTATCAACATGTAAATTAAAGTAACAGTAAAGCTTTTAAAATTGAAATATAAGACAATAGAAGATAATAATAAAATAGTAAATATTTCTCAAAGTCTGTGAGATGGAGTTCTTGGAGTCCGCTCCAAATTCTTTCAACTTTTGAAAAGTAAACAATAATTTGCAGTTAAATTATGGAATGATCCAGATCATTGTTTTTGCATGATATCCTTATTCTTTATTTAACAATAATACTTTTTATCAGAATTTTAAATTATTCTATTAGGAAAGAAAAAAAAACTACAACAAAAAAAAAAGAATAATAAATACAATTCAGGATTTTTAGAGACTTAAAAGAATATGCACTGAATCTGGTTTCACTGCTCTACTTCAAATGCATCAATCACATTCACAATTTCTAATGTATATTTCATATAAATTTTTATTTTAATGAAAAAGTTACAATAAAATATATGGTCAGTGCAGAGTTGTTAAATATTTTACATAAAAATGAAAAGTTTGTTTCAAAACCATTTTTATTTAACACAAAATCATAGTTCATATAAAAAATAAAGAAAAAGAAGAAAAGGATGGAATATCTCAACTCTTTAAAATTAAAACCAAACTTTTTTGGCCATTTTCATACAGCAGTGTCAGTAAATATTGGAAGAATCTCCAAAAAATCCAATCAGGAAACTGACCCAAACTAAATCCAAACAGAGGTCACAGAAATATGTCTATATAAAACACAAAAATGAAAATAATTACTTGAAACTTACAAATACTAGACAATCAAGACTGCCTAATATGAAAATCAGGGGGGGGGGGNGGGGTCATGTATTTCTCATTCGAATCTTCCTTCATTTGAAGATAATTTAAGATGCTTCTTGTTCAATGGGTAGTAATATCAAAAAAGTAATGGATTAAATTATTTTTTTGAAAAATTCTGCTATCAAATGGGTTATTGTCACCAAAGAAATGTTTGTTTTGAAAATATAAAAGAAAAATTGAACATTTGTTTCTAAAATAATTTTCCAAAGAATGGGAAAGAATGAATGCAAAATGTTCACTATATATAAATTATACCTAAAATAACATACACCTATGGAAAAGCAAGCATGACATTATGTATCAATCATTATACTGGGAAGAGAAGACTAACTAAACAGCATAAACTGTATAACAATAGTATAAATATTAAGAGAATGTATTTTTTGTCAGGTTTTGAAGTAGACCACTATTGAAAAGTACAAATGCAAAAGTTATTCAGCATAAAATCTGTATATCACGTAAATAGTTAATATTTATCTCATTCTCAAATAAGAATGTAACAGAAAATTTGTTTATCTAGAATAGGCATGAAAAATATTAAATTGTATATAATTATACAAGATAACTTGTATATATTTATAGAAGACACATTTTTAATTGTTTGCAAACTTCTTTTTTCTCTTTTTGTTCCAAGAAACTAAGAAATTAATTATAATTTTAGAATTTATAAACAATAAAAAGAAGAATAACATGATTATAAAAAATTTTTTAAAGAAATTTTGCTTTTAACTGAAGATTTTTCTACGTCATTGCCACTTTTAATTCTTATTGCACTGACCGCAATAATGAGTGTTGCAAATTTAGATTACTTAAATAAATTAGCTAGTTAATTCAGAGAGGATAGATCCGGAAAAAAAATTACCTTTTGTTGTTCAAGTAGAAATTGTTTAAATTCTTGCAATGTAACACGTTGGCCATCAGTAGTATATTGACCAAATGTACTACAAAATAACTGTAAAAAAATATTTATGTTAGAAATAGTTATATTTTAATTGATAACAAAAAAAACAAGTCAGTTGAGATAAATAAAGGATTTTTGCAGATTTTTTTTTAAATTTTACAATTTGATATTTTAAACTAAATAGAAAAAATAATTGAAACAAATTAAAATGTGTTTCAATTTTTTATAGCAACAATTAGTTAGTCTGAAAACAGAAGAAATACAAATGTGCCATCAAGCTAGACACATTCTATAAATATCTTTAACCCATTAATGTCAAGAAACAAAAAGTAGAAGTACATATTTGATAGTACAAAGTGGATATTTTTTCTGTTATCAATCATTTTATCTTTAAAAAAGCACAATGTTTTGACTTCAAATACAAATAATAAATATTTATATATTTAACATATTATGGTACTATCCTGTTTATGCAAAATACATTTTAAAAAAGGCAGTTTTATTAGAGCTTTTGTTCTTTCTTGAAGAAAGTAATCGTCGTTTTTAAAAAAAAGTTTGGCACAAATAGAATCAGTTATACATCAGAAACAAATGTGTTAATAAGAATTTTCAAAACAATATCAATAAATAATTTTTAAATTCATTGAAATTCTTTCACCTATTTATTAGAAATAACCATACACAACATAAAAAAATATTCTTGGTTTTAAAATTTAGAAAAATTCAAAAACTATCTAAAAAATATTTGGAAATCTAAAAACTATCATAGCTAATACTTCCCATTATCTGTAATAAATATGAAAAATAATGCAAAATAGTTCAAAATATAATGGAATAAGTTACAAAAAAATGGTTATTTGTGGGATATTATAATTATTTGAACATCATAAATACATTTTAATAAATTAGATATGCATTTCAATGATTTTTTTTATGCTACACACTGTTTGATTTTTTAAAATTCCATAATTGGCTATCAAATTCCCCATTTTTTTGCATTCTGATTGATTTTATAAGCATGATTTTTTTTTTTAAAGTAATTTATTCAGGTGGCCTCACAACAGATGGAAAAAAAGATACAAAATATTATTTAAAAAATTATGACTTATGTACTAATAGATTAAGTAAAATAATAATAATTTTTAATAATCAATTTTCAATAATATTAAAATTAAAAAAATTAAGTACACATTTCTTACTTGTTCATCATGAATTAAGTTGTGATATAATGAAGCAAAACCCTCAAAACCAATTTCTCCAACTCTTCGAGTATCAGCATCCTATTAACAAAATGAAACATTTTTTTTTAAAAAAAAGTTCAAAATTACATGTTCTAAAAATAAATTAAAATAAGTGTATCTCAGTTTCAAGGATAAATCTTTTTAAAAAAGATATAAAATTAAATTTAAATATAGAGTATAGTGTTTCGAATATTATTTTAGCATACAATACTAATTCCAGATAAATACCTGAAAAAATTCTTTTAGTCTATTTGTGGGTAATTTCAAATTGATCTTAGGTAAAAATGCTTTCAAATCTTTGATGGTAATCCTGAAAATAGAGAAATGGAATTTTAAAAAATTATGTTATAATCTAAAATTATTTCCAAGTTAAAATAAAAATAAAAAATAAGGTGAAAATATCAAATTTACTTAAGCTATGCTACAGGTATGTAGCTACAAGACATTTTTTCTCAACACATTTTAACTATAATTAGCAAGTATAATTAAATGAATGATTCAGTACATTTTCAGTTTTTATAACAATTGTTTGGTCTTTTGGTAATAATGAGCAGTTTGTCGACAATTTTCAGGGATCCCTCTTTTTTTCTTCTTTACTTTCCAAGGCATTACAGTCTGGTTAAAATTTTTTTGTTTTTTTTTTTGTAGAAAAAAATTCATTTGTCACAAACATCATAAATATCAGAATTAGTTACATTTTTTTATAAGTACACTAAAATTGGTGAGAGCAAAATATTTTATCAAATATAAAAAAAAAATATAGAAAAAGAAATACAATACCAGTAAAATTTTGGAACAAATTAGATGGTAAAAATCCCTTATCTTAAATCTATGATTAACGGACAATTTAAAAGAGTTGATAATCTTCGATAATATTAGAACAACTTACACTCCTCGCAGACTCTCCATGCTGTAAAACTCTTTTCTCAACCATCTTTCCACTAACAATGGATATGGTGCAGACGAACTTTCTGCTGAAAGGTGACGAACTCCTTTGACCCACAAATCACATTCATCCTTTTTAGCTAAAAACAAAAGTGATACAGACAAAAAAAAATTTAATGGTTGAAAAATATTTTGTCTATTTCATATGAAAAACTGTCTATTTTAAATCACTACAAAAGTAAATTTTTTATTATATCAAGGTTAATGATTTTCATTATTTATTTTTTTAAAAATCTAGATCAGTTTACATTAGGTTAAATTTTATAAATATTATTATAATTGAAATGTTATTACAAGTTATTTAATAGGTACATGCAAATTACATATTATTCAAATTTATTAAAAATGGAATAGAAATATATCATATGCTATGTGATGGGCCAAAAACCAATCAGGATATTTTTTTAAAAAATCGGGGCATTTTTTGGCATATTTAAAAATAAAATTAAATCAGTAAAAAATGACATTTCACAATTACTCTACTTTTATATGATAGAAAGTGAATTCTTACCAACACAAGATAACAATTTCAGTTTAAATGTGTTGCCATATATAATCGTAAAACATTCATTATTTTGATACTTTCTAGTGTCATCAGGCCAGCGTTCAAATGGCTTAGAATTTTTTCCCATTCTAACTTCTTTTACTTCTCGGAGATCAACTGAAAAAAAAAAACATATATATATAAATACATTCTGAGATAAAAGAAAGAAAAAGCTTTTAATTTGTATAGAGCAGGGTTGGGGTTTTGGACGTACTAAACTGGTTTTGGACAGGACACATGGGTTTTACTGTCTTAAACTGGGTAAAACTGTCCTAAACTATCTTAAAGTGTCCAAAACCTTGAACTTTGGGAAAAGGTAAAAATTCTATAGGTGTAACCATTGTACACATAATAATTACATGTATCAATAAATATTTGATATTTTTTATACAATTTACTATAACTTATTAAAAGAAAATAATATAATATAATAGGAAAAGGTTTATAATTTTTGAAGCTCCACAATTCATTGAACAACAAAAGTGAATACCTAATCCTTTAAATATAAATATGCTTTTAATACTGATAAATAATATTTTTGCATAAGGATAAATATGGCAATATTAAAAAATAATAATTTTTCTTAAAAAAAAAACTAAATTTGTTCAAAAATTAACCTTTTATTTTTCACAATATTTTTTTAAAAAAATGTTATAATTTCTGCATCACAGGATGATAAAAAAGACATCTATTTTTAAAAAAAATGTTTTTAAATATAAATATATTAATTTAAATTGAAAATACAAAATAACTGAAAAATGTATTAACAGTTTTGAAGGGCATAACATCAGTTTCAGTTACTGACACTGGTGATGTATCACCACTATGCTAAAAGAATTGAACATGAATGAAATAAAAGTATTCTTGAATAGTACTATAGATAAATAAACCTGTTTATGACGAACCAAGCACTTAGTCCCTAATATTTTAACCTGTATGGCAAGGCCAAACTTCAGTTATGTACTATTGAATGAGAGGACCAATTGAACTTGATTACTGATTAATCTTCCTTTGTTTAAATTGAAGAGTCAAACAATATTAATAAAACATTATACTTTTAAAAACAAATATTCTCTAGTATATTTAATTATCAATATGTTATTAGTTCTATGTTTATTTTACCTCTTAAATATTGTTCGGAAAAAATTGTGACATAATTTGAGTAAAAGGGTTCTGGACAGTTTAAGACAGTTTTGGACAAAGGGGTTTTGGACAGGATGGTTTAAACCGTGGATTAATCCATTCTGTCCTAAACCTTGCCAACCCTGGTATAGAGTATTTATGAAATTTTTATTAGTAAAAAAAATGCAATATTTTGAACTCTGTTGAATCATACCATGAAAAAGCACCTTCACTTTGATTGTTTGCCCATAATTTATTCTTTTTTGGATTATTCCAAATGTTCATTATGTTCTTTTTTAACGATTTAAGATATAGTAAATTTCAAAACTGTGTGAAATTTTATGTAAGTCCCACTAAAATAATAAAATATTTGCTTGGAATTCAAACCTTTTCAGCTTTTGTTATTGACTAATAATATGCAGATGACGCAAGAAAAATGATAATTAATATTTTCTTTAAAGTAAATTTCTATAAACGTATATAGTGCAGTAAAGTAAAGGTTCCAGTAACATATAAAAGGTTAATAAAGGTTATGAAGCAACAGATAAATCTACTCCTTTTCCATAAAGTCTAAGAAACCTATAAAAAATGCAATATAAACAAAATTACTGTTATGAATACATATAATAAACAGAAAAAATCTTCGGAAAAGTTTGAAAAGGAAATTATATGAAAACTCAGACATTACTGGTTCAATCACATGAATAGTAGTAAAAGTTCTTAGAACCTATTAACAACCAAAATACCATATTAGGTTATATTTTATTTCATTTACCAAAAAAAGGGAAAGTTTTCAATATCAGACTTTGGCATCTTGAAAATTTTAGTCAATTGAAATATCCCTAAAAAAAGGAAGTCAAGATTTCAAAGTGCTCTTTGGCAGCTGGGCAATGATAAATGTAAAATATTAAGTTTATTTTTAAAAGTCATTAATTTGTGTTAATTAGATGAATAAAGATTTAACATATCGAAAATTATAAAAAAGAAAGACTCAATTTTTCTTAACGATTTAAGAAGAGGTTAAAGATGGGTCCAATAATTTGATAAATTTATAGTTGACGTCTCCATGTCTTTAAGAGAAATATAATACAAAATATCTAAAAAAAATAATAATAATTGTCTGTCAATATAAAATTGAATTAAGAAAAATTACCTGTGCCTTCCAGAACACTACGTCCGGCAATAGGTCTCAACATTATAATTTGTCTAGTTTCTAATTTGATGCAGAAAGTACGTCTCTCGGGTTTCTTATTTAAGTATAACTTTAATAAATCTGTACCTTGCTCTAGTTTACGGTAAATTTGTTCAATTTCAGATTTTGATGCCGGCATCATGTTGTTATTATTTAAAACACTACAGAAAGCCATTTAAATTGTCTTTCACTTTCAGTAAAACTTCCCTTCTGGAGTTGCGATCGCGGTTTTCCGTAAATTATAAAAGTAAACAAACAGAAGATGAATTTGCCATGACGTCATGCACAATTAATTTTAATACAATGTTATTTTTAAAAAATTAAGAACAATCGTTTAATTAATAAATTTATTTGTTTATTAGGTAAGTAAGGTAAAATTAGGTTTATGAAATTCACTACTGTTTACAGAAAGGGCTGCTTAATCGTTCCTTGCTTATGCTTACCAGATATTTCGTGTAATGCATAATTTATGAATTAAAAATTAAAACAGTATCAATTTTCTTGGGAAAAGAAATTTGCAATTTATATTTGTGGATGTTTTTTATTGATCAGTTTAAACATGATTAAAAACTATCCACGAAATCCCTATTGTTTTCATCTTTGGAGCTTTAATGACATAAGAAAGTTTAGAGTTCATTGACCTTTTAAGTATTATTTCTCTTTAACAAAAAATATGCGATATATAACACTTGCGTTCGCTTTTTTTTGTTACTTCAGGTAATTAGATCTAAAAGTGCATTCTCACGTCATGTAATTCAATCCTCTCTACTTAAAATTATGCAGATGTGAGCTTGGAGATATGAACGAAAACTTGAATAGAAAGTTTTTCTCTGGTAAAGGTGTTTTCTCATTGCGAGTGATTATTCTAGAAGAGCGAGCGAATGTATAGAAGCTACATGTAAGGCGAACTGCTTCCGTATGAACGATTCGCATTGATGGCACATCTCACGCAGAGAGAATAATACTACATAAGGACACTTCAATCATGTTCTAATCATGATATCTGCTATAATTTCTTACAAACAATCGCACGCTTATTCAGGGTAATGGGATGTGGTACTATTGTCCCTTTAGGGACCTCTCTCGCAACATGCAAAACTTGCGAGATCCTTCCCATTGTGGCTGCTTTTAATCTATAGGCGTGTTTCTTTTACTCGTTTGGTTTGGATAATGAACTACTCCCTTTACTTACATACAGCATTTTATATCTGTTTCCACTTGCGTAAATATCAGAGACCACCATCACTGCTTTGGTTTAGCTTATGCGACCACTTGTAAATGTGGTTAGTACTTGTGCTACTAGAATTCCCCATAAGGGGCATTCTCACAGAATGCGTTTTGCTACACCTCCGATCGCCACCGAGGAAATATGTGAATCTGAATGGAGGAATTTTTCGAGGGAAGGTATATTACACCAATCAGATTGTCGCTGATCGAAAGTGTGGTCACTACATTAAGGAGAATACTCCTTTACCAATAGTTAAAATCTCGCACCTGTGTGCAAGCGAATCGTATACAGTGACTGATTGATTGATTGATTTGTTCATTTACGTCGCACTAGAGCTGCACAATGGGCTATTGGCGACGGTCTGGGAAACATCCCTGAGGATGATCCGAAGACATGCCATCACAATTTTGATCTTCTGCAGAGGGGATGGCACCCCCGCTTCGGTAGCCCGACGACCTGCACGCGAAGTCGAGCACTTTACGGTAGAACAGTTTAACGAGAACCAATACCGCACACCCTCGGTCCATACGCAGACTGATCCAAGTGGTCACCCACCCGCATACTGACCGCAGTCAGTGATGCTTGACTTCGGTGATCTGCTGGGAACCGTGTCTTAACGATCAGTCCACTGCGGGACCGTATACAGTGACAATGGTAGGTGAATGATCTTATTTTTACACGAGGACAGAAATATAGCTCCCGAAAGCAGTCTACTGACGTAGAGAGTCTGAAAGAAGAGTTTATCAAATTTACTCCATTTTTCATGCTAGGAACCCCACTTGTAAGGGTTAGCGAAAAATAACCACGAAACGTAAAGAACCAATCATCAAGTACTTGATGATTGGTTCAATGCCTACCAGCCTACCTGCCCAACAATGCCTACCTGAATGCAAGTTAGGAGAATATTTGTCCGAGAATGTGTCACACATGTGGGAGCAAGAGTTTATCACACCCTGAAAAATCGGGAGGTGAAAACCTGTATGCTTGCATTAGAAACAGCAGATCTGTTGCGCTCTCGCTAATGCAAATTTAGGCTGGAATTCAACTGAAACAGTCTAACGACTCGTCACTCGTCTGCCCTTTGCGCAACTGTAGTGTAATCTAACTGAAGTGCTAGTACTTCTTCATTAGTAGTTATTGTCCACGTTTAAACATGGTAGTTGTATATCGTCCTACAAGTGGGGAGGATCAAACATTCGATAGCTGAGAAAATTGTAAGAAGCTTAAACAACCTATATCACTGAACAACCAACCATGCTCGACAACTCATATTGAGCTTTTCCCCATCCTGGAGACGACAAAGTAGTAATCTATTTGTACGTTGACCAATACGGAATGTGACATTAACGCCGCTTAATCAGAGACCTAGTTCCAGTCACCCCTAAAGCACCAAAATGTAGAGATGAATAATGGGATTCGAGAACTCTTTTACGGTTAAAAGCAGCAGTCTGATTACCGATGCTCGACGCATTGTCTTCTGGCAAGAGACGCACGATAAACCCTCCTACATAATGGAAAGGTATGAATATATAGAGATGGTGGAGATCTTGTTTCGGGAGGCATAGTGTTTGGAGCCTGTACTGACCACCAACATTTTCCAAGGTATTTCAGTTACTGGTACACGCTACTGAACCAAGAGTCTCCCTTTTCAAGCGAAATTTTTTTAAAAAAAAAATCAGTTTTATGGTTTTTGTTTCTTTTTATAGCTGATAACGCCACCTCAATTTAAAGCTGTTGGGAAGTTAATATATTCTACGTAAGATTGCTCGGTAAGTCTTAATGACACCCAGTCTAGATTCAGGAAAACACGTCTAGGACTTCTGAGGCAGCATTGTCACTCATCGCCGTCGAGGAAATATGAAAACCAGATTAGTGAAATACGTTTTTCCGAGAAAAACTCATCAATCAGTTTCCCTAATTCTCTCGACGGCGATCGGAGGTTCTATGGCGTAACTACTATAAATATTAGATATCAATTCACAAGTATATAAGGTATGTTAACTTGGTTCTATCAGGAAGTACATTTTGATAGATGTAGGGTGACTTAGACGATAATTGAATCCCTTCAATGTTAACATGTGAACGGGATATGAACTTGTCAACATCGATGGATGGTCCACATTAAACAGTTGATTTGCTTAAAATATGGAGTAAAAAAAAAATCTGGTAAAAAAATAAAAGTTTGGCAAAATAAAAAAAAAATAAAAAAATGAAGAAAAAAAATATAATGAGCAAAAATGATATGAAACAAAAAGCAGCATAAATCAACAAGTGGCTTTCGTGCATCGAATTCTATCACAGATAAAATTCTGGAAGGAAAGTAATGTGGCGTAACTATAGCGTATTAAATACCAATTCACTAGTATATAATGCATGTTATCTTGATTCTATCTTGAGGTATCTTTTGATAGATGAAGGATGATAAGGTCGATTAAGACATTTCTCTCAGATCTTTATAATTGCAAGAATTGTTAGTGTGACAATGTAAAAAAATGTATAGGGATATGAGGAAGTGTAACACTTTGGGACAAAAAAGAGGAGAGTCCAACATGTCACCAGCAACGATTTTGCAGCTGTCGACGCTACAACAGAAATTCAGTAACCCTGTTTCATCAGTTTTTTTAAAAACCAGGAGCCGATGAGGGGATCATATGCCATATTTAAGTTTGGATTTTAATCGTAAACTACTTGTCACATGGACATTTCGGTCATCTGCTCTATATTCGAGAGTGCATTGTCAATCGCGGTAGTAACGCATCTGAAGATGTTGACCTTCTCTAATAACGAAAAAGCCAATATGCATTTTGTTTATGGAGCTGCACATGGAAATAGCTTAGATGCTCAATGGTTGAACGGAGAACGATTTCCCAACAGGTGGTTGCCCAACCGTAAAAGCCGTTCAAAAAAAGCCAACCGTTCAGCGCTTGCACCGACAGTTGTGTGAGATGGGATCCTTTTTTCAGCCCGGTCGGATGCAGATCGTGCAAGGACGTATAGAATGGTGGAAGAAGTTATTTTGGATATGGTGGCTGATCAGCCAAGTACAAGTACACGAGCGGTGGCTAGACAATTACTGGTATCGCAATCCACAACATGGCGAGTACTGTGTATGATCATGTTCAATGAGTCCAGGGACTAACTCAAAGGGATTATCCTAGTCGTGTGTAATTTGACAGCTAGTTTCAGCAGAAGAATGCTGTAAATACTGATTTTGTTGCAACTGTTCCTTTTACGGAATGTACCTTCACGCGTGATGGTGCATTTAACACCCACAATCAGCATGTAGGGCAGAAGTAAATTCATAGGCCACTTATTCACATTCGCATCAGCGACGTTTTTCTATCAATGTTTTTGCAGGAATAATCAGCGACCATTCACTCGGCCCGTAACTTCTGCCAGAACGCCTTGACGGAAAAAAATAACTCACGTTTCTGCAACAGGTGCTGCCAGACATGTTGAATGACGTTCTTCCACACATCCGACGGTTATTGTGGTTCCAGCAAGATGGAGCACCAGCTCATTAAGTGTGAGAAGTGCGAAACTCTCTGGACGTAACCTTTCCAAACCAATGGATTGGGCGAGATGGTCACGTTCGGCAGATATTTCATGTCTCGATTTCTTTTTGTGGGGACAGCTGAAGGCTCTTATGTATGAGACTCTCATTAAATCTGCTGAAAAACTTGCCACCAAGCTTTCGGCCGCTGCAGGGGAAGTTCGCGATATACCTGGTGTGTTTCAGAATGTTCGCCAATCTTTTCTTCGTCGTTGTACTGCGTGCATAGCCGCTGCCGGCCACTGTTTTGAACACTTATTGTAATCACATGCCATTGAATTTGCTTTTATAACTTAACTTCATAGATCTTTGTGTGTTTTTGCCTCATATAAGAACACAACTTTAGGCGCCCTCTAACGGTTTTGCGTTTTGTTTTTGAACATGCATTCTTTGATAAAAATTGCTTGCTTTGGTGTATAGTATCACTTCCATACACCATAGTATTTTGCCCATCTTTTATGAATCACCCTGTATATGTTAAGTGAATAATTTTAACTTTAGTAGAAAAACTGCTTTCCGCAAAGAAACAACAATTATTGCGAAGCAATCATTAGTGTTGCTTTGAGTAAAAATTTTACCTCAGTTTTCACAACTGTTAAGATCTTTAATGAATTAAATGATAAAAGTCAGTAAATGGTCATAAATAATAATATTTTGCATGGAATTATCGTTGAACAAATAAATTTAATAAGCGCATGTAAAATCTGTTTTAATTCTCGTAATTGG